AAACTTTATTTGTCCAAGTCAAACGCAGAAGTCATTGTTGGTTTTGAAATATTTTCTAAATTTATCCAAATCTCCAAGACTAGTTGTCATCATACAGGAAAGCTTGGATATCTAAAGCATAATTAATATAGGACTAATGCCTTGATCTTATTGGGGTCATTATATTTGACACGGTAGTTTGGAAATCTTTGTGTTGAGATGTAAACGAGAGGTTTTTTCTTCAATAATCGTAATAACTGCATACAGTTGATTGATCACTGAGTAAAGACCAATGTTATATTTATCTTTTCTCTTCGTAGTGATCTAGTTCATTAGAAAAGTTGTAATCTGAACAACAGTTATTTGACATTGCATGCTTCCTTGAAACCCAAGGTAAATGAAGATAATCATCAGGAAATCTAGATTCTGTAACTTGATATTACAAATCGATCAATATAATTCGATCAGAGCTAAAATGATTAGAAACTGATCATTACACAATGACTATTCAAGTGCAAAACTCATCGTATCATAGGTGAACATTCATGATCTTAATATCTCAACTATGAAGCTAGTCAACTAACATAAAACCTTAATTGACTATTTTTATTCACTTAAAAAAAGATTATACACTTCAAAGGCATAAACCGATCACATTTGTTAATATTATCAGTTTATTTTTTTTCTTATTATGTAACATGTGCACCGAAAGTGAAGCGGCACAGTTTTAAGAAAGTGAGAGAGAGAGAGAGTATGTGTGTGTGTATATATATGTGTGACATAATCGTCTTGTAAACCTTCTGTCATTAAATATGAATGAATTTTCTAATCAACATATTCATAAAACGAATATCTCTATCCATATATATATATGCCTATCTATATAAACCAAGAAAGTAATTGAGATTTCTTTTCTTTTTTTATTATTTTAATGTCGCCAACTGAATTGTTTTACTAAACTGTAATCTATACAATTAACCATTGTGTTTATTTGATTTAAATAAATGAATTTAATTTAAACAATTAATTAATTCAATTATATTTTTTATTTAAAAGAATGAATAATAATATTTTCATTTATTTATTTATTTACTTTTATACTACTACTATTACTACTAATGGCACCTGTCTATATTAAGTTTTGTTATTTTACTCTCCGTAAATTAGTACTATAATGAATCATTGATCATTGATGAATCGATGTTACCAGGTATATTCATTGTGGAAATAATATAAAGCATATGGTTAGATCAGCACACTATGGTGCACAAACAAACACATACATACATGTGCACACATGTATATACACAATTGTTAACTAAATCCACTTGTATATTGTAAAAGATAAACGAGTATGAAAATAAATAAACAAACAAACAAACTGTTTAGATATATAATCAGTGAGAGAATATTTTTTTGTTTTAATTAAATGCAACCAATCTGGTCTTTTTTTTTTGGTGTATTTTCAACACGTAAATTGTTGTGAATAATCTATTGACATTATGTTTAAGTTTAAACCAGATGGTTACATGATTTTCTTTCTCCTTCCTTCCTTCCTTCCCTCCTTCCTTCATTCCTTCTTCCTTTCTTTCTTTTGTAAGTCAATAGTAAACAACAAAAAAATGAGTTATCAATCTATTTTTCTTTTTATAAAATACAAAAAAAATTACTGGGAAACTGTTAGGTAACTTACTAACATTATGGATTATATACACTCGCACACACACACACACACACACAATACACATACACATCATTCATTGTCATAAAATTAGGACTAAATGATTTTACATACAATTTACAGGTATCTATAGTTTAATAATAAAAAAAAGAAAAGAAAAAGATAATGAGGTTTTTTTTGGTTTAACATCTAAAATCAATTTAATTTGGATCTATACTATGAAAGTAGATCATTTTCATGCTATTAGATAATCATTCATCATGTTGATAAGAAAGATTCATATAGTTTAATGTTAGAAATGAGTGGATATTAGGGAAGTTGAAAAACTTTAAAGTTATTCTGAAGAAGATCTGTTACATATATAGTCTTAGTGATTAGTTATTGAATAATTGGAATACTGTAGTTTAATACACCCTATATTGTAAACTTCTGTTTAACAAAAACTATTGTTACATATTTCATAACCCCCTCCCTAAGTGATCATTAATTAATAATTTACATCTACTGAATTCTCTGAGATGGTGGAGAAGATTTATAGCTCAGATGGATGATTTTGGTGGAGTTTTGTTCTCTGAGGTGGATGGTTTGGTCGTGGGGCTTTCATTGTTCTTCTGAACGACATCATCAGCACAAACTTCAGATAGAAGTGCTGATGATGTCGTTCAAAAGAACGATGAAAGCTCCACGACCAAACCATCCAGCTCAGAGAACAAAACTCCACCACTGAATTTTCTATCATTTATATCTTGGGTGTCTATAAATATTGATTTCTCATGTGTTTTGTGTTGTGGTCGAGTAATTAACGTAAGTAAACCTATGAGTGTATGGATTATGATGAAAGATAATAGAAATTTGTTTCTGTTTGGTGTGTTCAACTACAGTTCAGTTACTGAACTATAGGAAATGACATTTTAGACTGATAGAATTATGGATAATCTTGATCATTGCTCAAGGTTATTTTTTTATTAAATCTATCAATGTGTGCCACTAGTCAAAATGGGAATTCACAGTCTGATAAACAGCTTGTTCGTATCTTCCCATAAGATCAATCAGAATTCTGAATTTGTAAAAGTTATTGTATGAATATTTCTTATTTCCTTACACAATTTGAGGTTTATTTATAAGTAGTTACGCTAATCATGTATTCACCGAGGTGTTAGCTTATAACCAAATTTAGAATAATGGTTATAATCAATGTTTAAACTATAAATTTTGCTATATTCAATATTCATTGTTTTCATTTCCACTTTGGACGGAAGAAAATTTTAACAAGATAAGAAAAAAAAGAACAATGCAACAACTATTGTTATCTTATCTAAACCTTAGTAATGAATATTTGAACTGTTCAAATGAAGTGTGAAATGTAATAGTTGTCGAGAGCGGATTCACAATATAACTCTGAGTTTATTATTATCGGGAAGACAAGGTCTATGTTTCACCAAAAACCCAAACAACACTTAAGCGATTGTGTCATATCTCATTATGTCTATCCATTTATAAGTATGTACGTACATAGGGAGGAGCAGTCGTGATCTGTAATTAAAGGTGGCGGAATACATACCCATATGGCTGAGCAAATATATCACATTATCCTGATAACCTTGGTCTTCTCATTGCATTATCAACAGATATTAAATAAAAATCAATAGGAAACAGTTAATATGAAAATTTCACAATTGACTGATCATTGGGTGGTGATCAATGCCATGTGTGTCAAGTCCTTATAAGTGCAAATCGAATGCTATCGACCAAGTTGTAACGTGGCCACCAGTCTAGATGACTGGACACTGCGTGCACTATGTTGAGATCTGCACTAAAAAGGACATGACATACATGACATCGATCATCACTCAGTGATCAATCAATTGTAAATACATTTCAGTCCTACAGGAAGTTGGTAGCGACCCAGATGGCTCAGTGGCAACGTCTCTGACACGGGACCGAGTCCGTCAAGGAACACCAGTTCCCTCAAGATGACAGGTACACCTTGCTGATGAGTGCCAATTAGCACGAAATCCGGGTCCAGGGTTTCCTGTTCGACTACCTCCGACCACTATCTAATATGAAAATGTATTTTTGTCTGAATTTTTGGTTTGTTAAATGCTTATCAGTTTGGTCTAACTTAAAGCTCATTAATCCTTTATAAACTCTAAGTCAGATATCTCAACAGCTAGAATTTGGGAATAATTAGATGTAGGTCAGCTAAACACTGGTAAACTTATATATAGTTATACTTGTAACTGTCATTTTGTTATAAGTAGACTTAGATCTCTGATGACAATACGACCCCATTCAAGATTGTGAATAATATTTACGAAACTTACATATGTTTAAGATTATTTATTCAATAGTAACGTTACAAGATTATTTCATCATTATTATTATTATCCAGCTCCGCTACTTATGTTAATTAACTTGGGGGTTAGTTAGAGCTTCACTATTCTGTTATTGTTAACTAGAGTATAAATATCAAGAGAGTAGATTATGTGATTACATTGAGAATTAGATAAATAGTTCAGGCGTTATTTACCACCATTTCAATTTTTAATGATAATTTTGTTGGGATGAGATGCCTTATTAGTCTATAAATAAGTATATAATGTCAGACTGTAATTAAACGTAATGTCATTTGTAAATATACTGTAATTTAAAGGTAATTCAAATGATTAAGAAAGTCGCCGGTTATTTTATTTTGTTATAATTACAAAACTTCCTGCTATCGTCATATTAATCAAATTACCGCTAACTCAAATCCAATCACAATCCAATCACAATATTAACCATAATTATTTCCTATCTCTTCAACTTAAAACTAATTATGTCATAAACTTACATATAAATGGATCATGTCCATGAATTGCCGAGAAGTTTAACGCTTGAATAAGTTAGCTATATTGTACCTGATTGAGATCATCAATTGATTAATGTTAGACCACCATTGGAAACCTGGAGGCACTGGATGGCCGTTCCGTCTTATTATGGGACTCCTCAGCAGTGCGCATCCACGACCCCGCTGGCGGGATTCAAACCCAGGACCCTCGGCCTTGCACACAAGCGCTTAACCTCTAGACGACTGGGTTGACATCCAAACCATACCACTTCAGTGATATCGAGATTGGTTTACAAGGGATCAAAACTATCAAGACTTTCAATCGTCAATTTGTTAATTTTGTTGAATATTAAGTGTAAAGTGTGAAATAGGGTTCAAATTTCTAATAGTTGAATGTAAATTCAACATAATCATGTTCTACGATTTCTAATTAATCTATAAAAAACTAATATTATTTCCAGTTTACAATCCAAATTTAAGTTACTTTTTGTTTATTTAATTACAAATTAGGTTAATGGTCAAGATCTTAGAAATGCAACACATGAACAGGCAATTCATGCTTTTCAAACAGCTAAAGAACCTATTATCGTGGAAGTTGCTCGTCGTGATCCAAACGTTGAACTATCACAAAAATCTGCTCCAAATTCAAATTCTGGTCCTGTAAACAGTTTAGACAATCAGAATAAATGTTCTGTTGCAATTCAAACTGATCCAAGTACAGCTGAGGCAACTTTGGCTGCGATGGCTGCTGCCGCATTAACAACCGAAGATATACGTACTGCACTTGGAATAAGACACCCTGGTTTACCAACGAGGTATAGTATGCTTTGTTATTGTTTTTGTAGACAAAGAAAATTTAGTTAATTTCTTTATTTAAACACATAAGCACTGTTACAAGGTAGCAGCAAATATATATGCGCACACTTTTTCATTCGATTTCTGTGATAGCTGGAATACTAAAGGCCACTCCCCAAGCCTTTGACCTAGGGGTCTAATCCACAAGGCAGTGGAGCAACGTCAGGATCTGCAATCCCATGGAAACCGGTGACCGACAATTAGTTCATATGCCATTTGTTGCCCCAGGATCATGGAGCTCATGTGCACAATTAGTTTGAAATCAGGGTTTTCCAGCTCCCCCAGGTGGAACCTCCATATCCACCAATCCAGTTAAAGTGCCGGACATTCGCTTTTCATTCTCTTAATTTCGTAAACAATACTCCCGCCACGAGAAGGTGGTGACAAATATGTGATATGTATTCCAAGAATTATTCTTAAGTCTGATGTTTGTTAATTGAAGATTGAGTCACCTACAAACTGGCTAACTCCAATACCATCTGATAATTGATCATATTCATTCCATGTCAATAGTTTGAACAGAAGAGTGTCATTTTACTAGATAGATTGAAATTCTTCTGTTCAATAGTTTTGTCTTTGATCGCAGATTATTCGGAGACTTACAATAATGATTTGATCGGTAGCATGGTATTATTGTAGACCAACAATCAACTAATGCTTTATTCGTTGATTTTGACAACGGAAAATTTGTTCATAAAATCATGTAAACATTATCTTATAATAGCTTTCATCAAAGAAGGTGAGACATTTTTTGACTGGCATCATCCTGAAGGTTCTAGCCTGGTTAGCATGAACAATTTTATAATCACTTAAATGAATAATGAATTTCTTGTGGAACCGATACAACGTTTTATTTTAGGTAGTTTGAGATAAGAAACTATGTTTCACCTAGGTCTCATGCTAGTTGACATTCATCAACAATGTGTACCTATAACCTGAAGGAACTAACGCTCCACATATAAATTCTATCATGTGTTACCAAACTATACAATCTGAGATGATACGTCTGTGTTAATTTTTACGATAAAATTCAATTAGCATTAAAGGACTAAACAAATATGACATTGGTCACTACTTAATAATCAATCAATTTAAATACTACTTTATTTGGTAGTGTATGCTTGGTTGCATCAATTGATTTTCAGCAGAGAATGCAAAAGATCATAAACGTAGATAAACATACAGGGTAGAAAACATTGCTCCTCGTTAGTAGGACAAATCATTGAAATAATTAAGTCAGATTGACTTTGAAAACATCTTCTAAACCTTTTTCTAGAGTTTAAATGGTTCAATGTACCAGCTTTTTTTCAAACAACATCATCTGGATATTATTGAAAAAGGAAAGCTATTAGAAATTCTTCATTCACAAATGACTAATTGGCAGGATACTTCAGTGATTGTTGTCCATAGTTGTTCTGTTATTCAGTGTACATTTATTTTCATTCTTTGATAAGCATAAATGTGATCAAAGTGTTCAAAATGTAGCATACAAATACACCTATACATTTTAAAAATCAACTGTATTGAGCTTTAATGCATAAATTTCAATCTAATTATGTCATGTTCTACTAACAGCCTAACACAAGTAGTTGAGTATTACCAACTACATTGTGTGTCACCTTTTTAATTTGATAGTATTTAACTTAATAATCGATGCCAATCGATAAATAATATGGTTAATGGATTTGATGAGTTATCAGAAATCTGAACCAGTAATACAGTTATTATTATTATTATATTTTTCATATAGCCCGAACAAATAGACATCTCAAAGAATTAAACAGGCTGCCAATCAGTTCATTGATTTTCTTCTGTGTGTGTTGTTGATGTTAGAAATATCCCAAAGTATTTAAACATTAGCATTTCTTAATAGTTGAATTCATGAGTCGATATAAGCTAGACCACCATTAAAAACCTGGAAGCACTAGACGGCCGTTTCATCATATTGTGGGACTCCTCACCAGTGTGCATTCACGATCCTGCATGCGGGACTTGAACCCAAGATTTTCGGTCTCATGTACAAACACTTAACTTCTAGACCATTGAGCCAAAATGGGACGGTGATAATAACAAGCTTCAATCGATCCACAAACTTTCACAGTCTATCAACACCATTAGATGACGGATCAATGGTCTAGGGGTTAAGCGCTTGCGCGCAAAACAGAAGCTCCTGAGTTCAAGTCCCATATGCGAGATCGTGGATACATTCTTCCGAGTGATCCCATACTTGGACGAAACATCTTTCCAGTGCTCCTAGGTTTTCAATGGTGGTCTAGCCTATATCGATTCATGAATTCAACCATTAATATTAATACAATCCCCACGAACCCCGATTCTGATAATAATATTTCTACTTTTTCTCTCTCTCTCTTTTTATTACTTTATATACAGTTTCCGGTTAACTTTAAATTTCACAAACATTAATATACACGGTTGATTTCATTCAACAGTAATTATCGGTTAATCAAAATGTACACATTACTAGTATTTATTACTTATGAACCGGTAATAATAATATTTCTTGACTGGTGATTTAATTATTCCTACCTCCTGGTAATGTTTTGTTACTGTTACTGTTATGATTTTCTTTTTCAATATTTAACCATAGAGTTATATCGTTTTTTTCTTTTTCTTATCAGACAAGTTCATCATTTGTGTTTTGCTTTATTCTTTATTTATTTTTGACCTGTTTATGAACTTGTACAATATTATATGATGACCTAATAACTGTTATATAAGTTATCATTTAATCCTTCTACAATCTTCTCAATGATTATGGAATCCTTTTCTTTCGAATACATACGTTGTTAATAAACATAGAGATAGTTTGTGTGTGTGCGTGTGTCTTCGTACATAGTTACTGTTATCAGACAAAATGTATCTTATAAGACTAGAAATGTAAATAGTTTTTTACCTTAATAATTAGATGTTTTTGTTTTAAAGAAAATTTTAAATGTAATCAAAGAGAGGTTTTGTGGATGTTATAGTAATTTAAATAAGTGAATTCATGAGTCGATTGAAGTTAGATCATCATAGAAAACCTGGAAGCATTCAAAGTCCGTTTCGTTTTAGTATAGGACTCTACTAGATCTAATTGACTCATGAATTCGACTATCAAAATTACTATAATATCCACAAAACCTCTCTGTGTGATTGTAAATATCATATGTCTCCAACACGTATTTCCTGGAGATCTAGTGAGAAACCTTGACCAATGCAGTTCAACTGGGTCTGTCGTGAGATAGCAACTCATTGATGACAGTGGTGGACATGTCGCCCAATTCCGTCGATTAGTTAAAGTTAGATATTAACACCGTTGGATGCCGGTCGAGTCAGTGATCTCGAGGTTAAGCTCGTGAGGCCAAACCACGGGTGTGCACTGCTGAGAAGTCCCACAATAGGACGAAACGGCCGTCTAATGCTTTCAGGTTTTCAATGGTAGTTTAGCTTCATTTGACTCATAAATTCAACTATTAAATTTGGATGATTAAGGAAAAGCAAATTGGAAAGTTTCAATTAATTTACAAAACCGTGTAAGAATCTTTTGATGGACTTTGTAGATAACTGCATCACACTTGATATAATTAAACTCTATGATCATCATGAATGTGATGCAGTTATTCATCATATATATTACAAGATTGCACAATGTTAGAAATTGACTGAAATTCGACTTGTAAACTGTTGGATACCAGATCAATGGTCTAGGAATAAAGCGTTTTAAATACTTTCATTAATTATAAAGTTTAATTTCTGTGAATCTATTTGAAATTGAAATCTTACGTTTTTATTGAAATCGTGACTCAATCAATGTTAGACCATCATTGTTATTACTATTTAAGAAAGGAATTTAGGCACTTGGTGATAGTCTACACAAAACCCTACTTTACCTAAGTTTTCTAATAGTTTCTATTCACTAACCAGTCGTACTTATAACCTTCTGGGAAATGATGTTCCTTGTAGGATTTGAATCTACTCATTAGTGCCAAATAGTATATCATCTGGATTGAACAAGGTTCCCTGTAAATTACCATGTAATCATGTAATATCCCTTAGACTAATGTTCACATTCCTATTTGATCAACAAAACTTAATCATCATTAAGAAGATGAAAAACATGGAATTGAACTTTAAACCTCAATAATCAATCAAATATATAGAAAAATATTGTCAAAATATTAGTAGTGAATTGTTGGCTTCATTAAAAAACAAAGTAGTAATAATTTGGATGGAAGTCTGACTTCTACCTGAAATTTGTGATGATGATGTCGTTCAGAAGAACAATGAAAGCTCTACGACCAAACCATTCAGCTTAGAGAACAGAACTTCATCCAAATCATCTACCTGAGCTACAAATCTTTTCCACCATCTCAAAGTAGTCATAAATTTAAATGTGAGGATTTCTTTATTCCACGACTATAAGTCCGTATAACATTTCAAATTTATTGTAAAATAAAATTAATCTCTTGACATTTGAAGAAAGAACAATCTCAAGTTTCTTATACAACATAATTTTACAATCATGTTCAATTAATGAACCAATTCGATCAATCTTGAATGTTAATTTATTCATTTAGTGATAGGATTTGTCTACTGTTAGACATTTAGCAACAAGATATTGATTATTATGTTCTATTATCATACTTCATTGTTAGTACATCTTATTCCATAATGTCATATTGTTTTTCTTTTCTTCTTCTTTTAAATCGTCTACAATATAACTTATTTTTTTTCACATGGTAATATGTTTCCCCCACTCCTCTCCCTCCTCTCTCTCTCGCTGTGTGTGTGTGTGTCTCATGTATAATACCATTGTCTGTGAATGAGATCAGTGTATTACATCTAGAATCTTTTGATGACTATAACAAAATCTTCGTTGAGAAAATACTTTACTAAAATATGAAAGTAAAATATAATGAAGTAAAAAGAAATATTCATTGAAAAGAACAACATTTCTCTGTTTAGTTGTAAAGATAATAAATGAAGTCGGAATTATTTTCCTAATATAAATGTGATTATTTCCACTATTACATCATTTACTATCAGTGTTGATATTAACCTTAAAGAGAGGAAAGAATTACAAAGAAATAAAAGCTTCCTCATTTAAAACTAATGAATGTATGTATAAATATTTGTAAGAATTTTCATTGTTAGTGTTAAGGTGTATAATTAAGCAGTCTGTTTTTCTTCTAACATCTATATATTCTGAGTGGATTGTAGTGGCTGTGCTTCGTTGATCAATCACCCTTGTAACCGTTACCATATAATTCTCAACGGTGTTTGAAATCAGAAGTCAAAGAGAAGCAGCGATTACAGTTTTATTAGCAGATAACTCAGACCACAAAGCAGTGATGCGAATGAGTGAGTCAGCGAACCGAGATTGTGTAGAGTGTAAATATACACGTATATATATGTAGGGAAATGAATGGATCATCGAATCAATTAAGCAGTTAATATTAAAGCTAACAGAATAAATATATGCGTACGCGGTAAGCAGTGTTCAAGTATACATATTTCATACAAGCACAACAATAATAAAGGTACAATAAGTTGCTATAGTACGGATGACTTTGTTCGCTAAATAAGTTAACAAAAGTGTTTAACTGAGTTAAATGAGAACAAACTCAATTGCACGTGAGTTGCTATGGGATTATTTGGTGGATGAGAACTGCTGAGGTATCCCACAATGGAATGAAACGACCGTCGGATGATTCCAGGATTTCTATGATAATCTAGCTTCAATTGACTTATGGTTTTAACCATTGAAATTACTGTAATATCCATAAAAACCATTCTGATATCTGGATATTGTTAGTTGTCCATAAGTTTTATTTGGGTTGTATATACCAAATGATACTAACTATCTGTAGTCTCTAACATTAACAGAGAAAAAAAAGTACACCATTACCAACAAATCTCGTACTCAATCCATAAGCTAATATTTATATGGACTCACTAGCTTAGGGACTAATGGATTAGAGTTTCAGATAGAAAATACTGAGTTTTGGTTTAATTGTGAGCACCTACATCTACACATCTGGAAGACATGGAATCCTTCACGTACCTGGGAAGCATCGTCGATGAACACAGAGGATCAGATGCAGACGTAAAGGCGACGATTGACAAGTTAAGTACAACATTTCAACGATAGAAGAAAATATGGAAGTCAAAACAACTGTCAACAAATATCAAAGTCACAACTTCAAATACGAACATCAAGACAGTTAGTTCTACTGTACGGAGCTGAAACTTCGAGAAATAATACAACCATCATCAAGAAGGTAGAAGTATTTATACCTAGTCGTCTAAGCAACATATTCAACATCCATTGACCTTGATTGGTTTCCAACTGAAGAGGAAACTAGGAAAAGACGTTGGAAATGGATAGGACATACATCAGGTAAATCATCAAACTGCATAACGAGGCAAGCGCTAACCTGGAATCCTGCATAGAAACGGAAAAGTGGAAGGTCAAAGAGCACATTACGTTGGGAAATAGAAGAAGATATGAAAAGGATGAATAGAAAGTGGAAAGAGCTGGAATGGATTTCTAGGGACAGGTTTGTATGTAGAGTGTTGGTGGGTGGCATATGCTCCTCCACGAGGAGTATTAGGCGTAAGTAAATAAGTATTTACATTTAGATATAAGTCGATTTAACTGACAAATCTTAAAGAAGATAAAACGTGCATCCTAGATTCCACTACTAGCCACTATGTATCTTTATTAATAATAATCCATATATGTTTGTAAACTGATAAATGACTGTATCAGTCCTTAAATCAATTAAAAAAACACACAGTTTGATCTATAGTTTGAACATGATCCTGTTTGAATAGTTTATTGATACTATCCATCTATATACATAGTGTACAACTTGAAGATAAGTATAAGCCTAAATAAACAAGTTTGAAAAATATTATGCAGTCATACACTCAATCTAATATCCATAATGTTCAATCATTGCAGTAAAAATGAAAGCTTCCTATAGGAATTTATCTAAATTTTATCTTTTTAAAAATTATAATAAAAAATTTAATCATTCGTATTTATCCTCATTTTAATAGTTTGGAGTGCATCTACCATCCAGAATTTCCTGATCTTGTGGATATAGTTGAAGAAGACGATGATGATGATGATGACGATGATGATGATGATATTGATGAAGATGACGATGTTGATATCGATGGTGATGATGATGAAGTCGATGAACAGGATAATAATAATAATAATGATCGAATAAAAGATGGTATTACTTCATCCAACGTGAACTGTGATCCGAGATCAGTTAACTGTCCATGTTATTCAAATGATAACATAGAATATGATGAAATACCGGATATTCAAGATAAAAGTATAACATTCCAAGAAGGAAATGATGGTGTCACTTGGGATATGGAATTTAATCAATCAGAGAATATATTGATTAAAGTAAGTGATTTGACATATCATTGCTAATACATTTTTTTTATTGTACTAATACTATATATATATATATATCATCAGTCATTTATATTACCATGTCATCATTAACCACAAGTCAATAAACACTACTATAACAAACTGATTATACAATTGTTAATTGCATTTTCCGGTTGTTAATATTATACATTGTGATTAAACAATAATTGTATCCTGAGCAGATGATCTGTATATTCATCAATATTAGGATTCATGCACATTCATCAGACTAGTTCCACATAGGATAAAAAAAAACACCTTAAGTCCCATTGCTAACCACCAATTGTTCATATTAAAACCTAACTAAATGTTGGCTATTCTCTTGTTAGTGATAGATTTCTAGAAGGACTATCGACAGATTGTAATATATGTATTATTCACTATATCAGAAGAGCAACAATGTTTTAACGGAACTGTAAAATGAAGTTCAAAATCAATCACAAATTGATTGAAGTACAGAACATGAATCACTAGATTACAATATCGTCCTTAATATAAAACTTGAATATTAATGGTTCAACATCGTTTGACAACTTAGAAAAATAGTACCGATTAATCTATAACTACAGCAACATAATTATTCTGTGTTCTCAGTTTAGCAATAATCAAAACTATCAAACAATAAACAATATCTTTACGAATTCAAAAACTCTACAGGGGATGATCTTCAATACAAAAAGATCTTTTTGTCTCCATTATAGCTAAATTTAAGGAGTAAGTATATGTGATAATGACTTTATAATTAAGCTTCAAATATAAATCGCTCTACAAACCAATGAATATCAAAAGTTACTGAACAATTATTTTGTAATTTTATAGGACGTTCCAGTCATATTCATATACAAACCAATCAAGAGTCAAACCTAGAACCATTCAACCATATTAAAGAGTCAGAATGGGTTTTGTGGAGATTTTAGAAATTTTACTAGTTGAAATCATGAGTCAATTGAAGATAGAACACCATGAAAAACCTGGAAGCACTGGACGACCGTTTCGTCCTAGTGTAGAACCCCTCAACAGTGCGCTTCCACGATCCCGCCTCCCGCGAGATTGATATATCCTGGGTTCGAATCTCACGGGGGGCGGGATCGTGGATGCGCATATTAAAAGGTGTTTAACAGTCTTTTGTTTCTTATTTCATCGGAATAGAAAAGTGACTTTTATCAATATTCTTTATCATGTTCTATAATGAAACTTACCTTGATTTTATTAAAGAGAATTTCGTACCATACATTAGGTATAACATTATTTGTCATTATTATTAAATTTATTTGTACGAAATTTAGACAAGCTTAAACTTATCACTCTACATTAATCTCATTCTATTTGTAATGTACCATACAAAAAAGGCAAATGAATAAAATATGTATAAAGAAAGTCTGTACCAAAGGAAAAGCGATTCAGTTTACTTTCATTAAATAGAGATAAATGTATATTCAGTATTTCTTTACAATAAATAATGGTTTCAATTGAAAATCATTTACATATTACTATTAAAAGTTAAGAATTATTAAGATATATGCACAAAGGGAAAAGCCTCCGATACAATACAACATGCACCAATCGAATCACAATTGACGGAGAAGATTTGGAAAATGTAAGAACCTTTACATATCTGGGCAGTATCATTGATGAACATGGTGGATCTGATGCAGATGTGAAGGCGCGGATCGGAAAAGCAAGAGCAGCATATTTACAATTGAAAAACATCTGGAACTCAAAACAACTATCAACCAACACCAAGGTCAGGATTTTCAATACAAATTTCAAGGCAGTTCTACTATATGAGGCGGAAACTTGGAGAACTACAAACGCAATCATTAAGAAGATATAAGTGTTTGTTAACAGTTGTCTACGCAAAATATTTTGGATCCGTTGGCCAGACACTATCTGCAACAACCTATTATGGAAGAGAACAAACCAGATTCCTGTGGAGGAAGAAATCAGGAAGAAACGCTGGGAGTGGATAGAACACACGTTGAGGAAAGCACACAACTGTGTCACATAAAATCTTAAAGGTCAAAGGAGAAGAGGTAGTTCAAAGAACACATTACGCTGGAAAATGGAGAAAGACATGAGAAGAATGAGCAACAATTGGATAGAACTAGAAAGGACAGCTCAGGACAAAGTGGGTTGGAGAATTCTGGTTGAGAGTAACAGGCGTAAGTAAGTACTATTAAGATAGTTCGGAATAAGTTGGATTTTAGGTTCCTTGTGATGACATTAGTTTTATAGGAATCAAAGATAAATATAAAACCAAAATAACATTTTGATTTCTGGTTTCATATCAACTGCCAACCACTTGACAACACATCACACAGAATGCGATGTTGTGTTACTTAGATTAGTAGTTAGATTACAACTTTATCAATAATATTTGATCATCATAACCATAACATGCATTAACAATATCCACCTGTACAAAATTTCATGATCTCAACTATTAAAATTACCATAGTATCCACAAAAACCCCTCCTGATATTAATCAACATATGCTCAATAGTGACTGGTTTCAAGAGGTATTTCCTGGAGTTCTAGTGAGAAGTAGTGACCAGTGCAGTTCAACCAGGTTTGTCGTCAGATATCAGCTCACTGAAGACAATGGTGGATGTGTCGCTCAATTTCGTGGATTAGTTGAAGTTAGACATTAACATCGTTGTTGCCGGTCGGTTCAGTGGTCTAGAAGTTAAGCGTACGTGCGCGAGATCAGTAGGTCCTAATTTCGAATCCTATGAGGTGGGATCGTAGATGAGCAATGCCGAGAAGTCTCACAACAGAACGACACGGCCGTCCAGTGCTTCTGAGCTTTCCATTGTGGTCTAGCTTCAAGTGACTCATGATCTCAACTATTAAAATTAATATCATATCCACAAAAACCCCTTCTGATGTTATTAAAATGTCTTTTTTGTTAGTCCCAGTGATTATCTGTAATGTGTGACAATGAATCGTTATCTTGAAATTACGTACTACAAACAACTCATTGTCATTAAAACTTCAGATTATGTATTCTTTTTCTTTTAAAAACTACCCATTGATAAATTTACTGCGAAAAGAAATACTTTTAATGTCCAATTGGCCTTAGTTTAAACACATTTATGTTTTCATGTAAACCATACAATGTATACTACTGTAATATGTAAATAGTTAGGAATTTTACAACTAATCAACATTAATGACTAGTGAGGGCGAAATCATTTAAATGGGAACTGGTCACTAACTTCAAATGTTTTGAAAGGTGAATTATGTAATAGAGTATTTTATTTAGTCAGTCTGATGTAGGCAAATTGATAAATGTTTTCACATATTTGATAGATTATGTATATTTAAAGATGATAAGTAAAATATTTAAAAAAAAGATAGAATTGTATATTGTTATAATATAGTGAAAAGGGTGACATACATACGAACTATCTGTAATTAATATATTCGTAATACTACTCACTATTCACATGGTATTGTTTTACTTGTATGTTCTCATTGTTATTTACGACTGCAATTGATCAGTCTCATGTTGGAATATGTGCATCCTGTGCGGATTGCCTCAATATAACCTTAAATTACAAGCTTTTTAAGTAAAGATGCATAATGGCTAACAATGAAATCCAGTTTGACGCGCATTTCGTCCTATTTGTGACTCGTCAGCTGGATGTACCTACATCCCAGAGTTGATGTTCACTCCGAGAAGATACAAGTAAAACAATACCAAGCAAATTTAAACTTAACCCCATTGCACAAGCAGATGTCTATTAGAACTTAATGGCTAAGTAGATAACGCAATGGCATTTGAAACGAACAGTACTGGGTTCGAGCGCCGGAGTGAACATCAACTCTGAGATGCAGGCACACCCGGCTGACGAGTCCCAAATAAGACGAAACGCGCATCAAACTGGATTCAACTGCTAATCACTATCCATTTTTGCTTAAAATATCCATTAGTGATTATTGTTAAGTTAAATTATTCACTCGAATTATTAGAATGAGATTGTGGAGATTGTTGAACTTAAACATCAATGAATCTCAGTTGAGTTACAGGATAATAAACTACCGATATGTCCCATATTTGGACGAAACTGATATCTGACTTTGACTAGTTCTTGATCTGAATAATATTTATTTTAACCTTAATCAACTATAAAAATCAATGTTACATTTAAGCAGAAACATTTATATCCATAATAAAAATTACACTCTATCATACTACAATATCGAATGTACTAGATCTTGGATTGAACTCATTCTTCAATAATATAAATAAACAAATCCTTAGTGATAGAATGGAACTATATTTATTTGTTTTGGAGAAGAAAGAAGACTATCATTTACAATGACCATCATATGTATAGATAAAGAAAACAAAAGGGAGTGGCGCCATTTTCTTTCAGTTTATTACTTGATTTAATCTTTAACAACAACAACAACAACAAAATATATTTATCATTGATGTTTTCATTTGATTCTTTTTTTTTGTTTAAAATTTTGATCATACTACTATTATTACAAATCATAATGATAATACATAAAATGTAATTGATGTAGAATGAGGATAGAATATTACTATTGAGTTAGATACAGGTATTATTATTGTTATTTTTATTATTATCTTATCTAATATGTGTACACTTGTAAGTAATGGGTAAACACCCAACTATTGTAAATATAAATGTCGTTGTTAAAATTATTAAATATGAATGTTCAATGTAAACTACAAAACAAAAATATGCGATAGAAAGTAAACATGATTTGTGAATGCATAAGTATTTATAAATGTTGTATACTTGGTATTTGATAGAAGCTTGATAGTAATCATAATGTTAATGGTACTTTGAATTAGGGTACATTAATTTCCTTTTTTCTTTATACACACACAAATCAATAAAACCCGATAGAGAAAGTTGAGTATACTTAATTAAGAGATTACTGTCATACTTAGTGAATGTAAACATAATCTTCATCTGATATCAGTCTTATCTTTTTTCTATGAGTCGTCAGATGCTCTCAAATATCCCACTTGTTGATTTTAATTAGAATTCAATATATTGGGCAATAATAATGAATAAAAGCACAACATACAATATTGTATATCTCTGCAAATATATAATAACCATCTCACTAATGATTTAGTTCCAGATGTTCCTGATGTTCTAAGTAAAGATTAAGATTGTAAGAGTTTAGATATGTCAGGAGTGTAATAGTTGCCACAAATGGTAATGAACAACCCTCTCTCTCGAAATAAAAAAAGTTGATTGAACTTGAATTTGTGTCAGTGAACGTCAACTCACTAGTTTTAGTTGCTAAATGTTTATAAAAAATACTGAAGGTTCTGAGTTTGGTCATTGGTTTGAGTTGTGTCTCCATACTTTTACATTGTTCCCATACTAGGATAAAACATCTGTAAATTGCTCTCCAATTATTAATGGCATTTCAATTGAAATCAATGTCCAACATATATAAATTTATATATAATAAAATAGTTTTATTTTGTTTTTCTAATAGGAGGTTACATTGTGTCGTAAAAAACCAGATGAAAAATTTGGTTTAACTCTTTGTTATCGACAGGGTGATACATGCAATACAAGTTGTAATGTTTATGTTGGTGAGGTAAGTCTAATTTGTCCTACATATTTAAAAATTAACATTACTATTATTATTATCATCAGTGATAGAATAATTATTGTTGGTTATTGAGTAATGTTGAGTGATATTATTATCGAAGATGCCGCTCTCAGTATCAACAGTCTCTGCATCTATCATCGATATGTAGAAGACACATTTCACATCAGCAAAAAGAATTTCCCTAAAAATTCCTCTATACTTCTCAGATTATATCGGATTCATATTTAAAATGGAAGGTATTCATAATGTACTGTCATTCTAAGATTGTTTGGTTAAAAACAATTCTAATGTAAATATGAATTTAATCATATACAGAGAATCTACAACAACTTTTAACTTTTGATTTACCCTAAGTCGATAGGATTCAATCTGCACTAAGAAGGACATGACATACATAATATTGATCAACACCCAGTGATCAATCAACTGTAAATACATTTCAGTTCTACAGGAAGTTAGTCTCGACCCGGATAGCTCATTGATAACGTCTCTGACTGTGAAGCTGGATGACACGGGATCGAATCCGTCAGTGAGTATCAGTTCCCTTAAGATGACAGTTACACCTTGCTGACGTGTACCAAGTAGCAAGAAACCTAGGTCTAGAGTTTCCTGTTGTCTAACCATCATCTCACCCTAAGTCATAAAACGTTAGAAATTCTGTTTTATACTCGTTGAGATATCAATGATTTATCATTACTTCATTATTAATATTTTCCAATACAAGAAAATGTTCCTCTGTAACTGGAATCTTCAAACGTATTCTACTATCAAGTAGAAAACTAATTTAGAAACAGAATAGTATATTAAGAATTCTTTAAATAGTAAAAAGAATTCATCATCTATTTAAAAGTAGTAACCACTAAATAGGTATTTCTTCTTAGTATTGGACTTCTCATCAACGAACTTTCATTACCATACTAGATGTTAAACGCATTGATTTCAGGCTACAACAATGAACTCTTTACCCCTTAGACTACTAAATCACGACTTAAATGTTCAACGTTACTAACTTTATTCAATTCGTATTATCAACATTTTAACCTACTAGCCTCATATATGGCATGCAATTAGTTTGTTAGGTTAAATATGTTTTGACGCAATACAAGTCTTTACCGAATGATCAAGTAAATATCTTCTCCAACTATACTATGTATAAAAATTCGGTAGTTATTTTCATACTAAGCCAAACTGTTACAATTTTACTAACTCCGTTGGAAAACATACTTAAACTGATATACCATATATTAAGAATATTATTATCTTAACTGGATAGAACCACAGTGATCAAACATTTGTTTGTAAAGCAGATATATTTCTGGACAATTGATGGTAATCAGAAATAAATAATAAAACGTTTTAGGGTTAGTGTTTTACTTCCTTTCTGCATTGTGAGATCAGTAGTATTTGGAGTTTTTACTGAATTTTCTAAATGAGTCAGTTGTTGGAGAGTGTAGTTCATAGATATCGTCAAATTCATCTCCATTATCACATTACTTACGTCATATTAATTTTCAAAACTCCTACATTTGAATGTTGTCATAAAAGGGGTTGTCCAATGTATATGTGCGGTTACATTTTAGAATTTATCATTGCTTTTATGAGCAATTCCAAACCGCTTTTCTTCATTTGTACTTGTAAGCAATTAATAAACGAAACATAATCAGCAGAATAATACTTCAATCATTATCAATCTTAAACCTCTAAGTTTCATAGATTCATTACCGTTAACAATTAATCGTAATAATTATCAGGTTAAATGATGAAATTTTGTGTTAACAAGATCGTCCTTCAATGATGAATGCACAGAAATTGACGATTGTATAGTAACTAATCCAACTACCTTATATTAATATTACTGGCTAAGATCATGAAGCTAGTCCACCATGGAAAACCTGGAGACACTGGAAGGCTGTTTCGTCCTATTGTGGGACTTCTCATTAGTGCACATCCACAATCCCGCCACTCCTGAGATTCGAACACAGGACCTACTGGCTTCGCGAGCGAGCACTTAGCCACTAGACTACTGAGTCAACCGGGATCCAGCGGTGTTAATGTCTAATTTCAACTAATTCAAGAACTTGAGCGACACATCCATCATTGTCTTCAGTGAGTTACCACCTCACAACAAACCTGGTTGAACTGCACCGGTCACTACTTCTCACTAGAACTCTAGGAAACACCTCTTGAAGCCACTCACTAGTGAGTATGTGTTGATTAATATCAGGTCGGTTTTGTGGATATTATAGTAATTTTAATGGTTAAGACCATGAGTCAGTCCTGATTCGAACCCAGGGGGAGAGGTCATGGATGTGCACTGTTGAGGAGTCCCACAATTGGACGAAATGGCCGTTCAGTGCTTCCAGGTTTTCCATAATGGTCTAGCTTCAACTAACTCACGATCTTAACCATTGAAATTTAATAACTATCCGGTTAAATTGCAATACATAACCTACCGTATTTCTAGGAACTTCTAGAGGTTTTCGATTAATCGCTGGTTGGTCAAAATCTTTGAAGTCTTTTCTCGGTTTCTGAAAAATTCCCCAAAGTTTTCAACAAATGGTAATGATTAAAAAAATTTAGAATAATGTGTGGATAATCATTTCGATACAGTAAATGTAACCGATGATAATTAGTCTTTAGCTAAACATGTCATCTTTATATTAATCTTTCAATGAAGGAATGACTTTGTCTGTCAACTTATACAGTTTCATTTAAATCATGATGTTTACTCCTTCATACATTTTTGACAAGTTTATATTTGATTAAAGATGTCAGCTATTTTTACAAGTTCCTTATCAAAATTGTTTACATTTTAAAGTCCTTAAGTTTTATCGACTTATATCTGTATATAGCGAATAGATTTCTTCAATATAAATGAATGAAATTAACAGTACTTACTTACTTATTTATTTAACCCTGTTACCCCCCAATGAAGCATAAGCCGCTGACCAGCATTCTTCAACCCACTTTGTCCTGGGCCTTCCTTTCTAGTTCATTCTTCTTATGTCTATCTCCATTTTTCAGCGTGATGTGTTCATTGTAACCGACAGTATATGGATCATATTATGTTCTATAAACAGTTCACTTAAATTACATTTAAGTAATTAAATTATAAATCATATGTGATGAGAAATATAAATTCAGACTAATCGTTGAGTAATAATGAATGTGATGACTTCGTATTTCCTAGCTGTGAATAAATTCTCTCGATTATGTTACAAGATATTAACCAATCTAAGTGATTTCATACTATGGATACTGTTTCCATTTTCGATGGTTGAAAGAAACCGACAGGAACTTACGGAACATTGTTTTACACTAATTAAGACATGTCAGTGATTGTAATCATAAATTTACAGCTTGATTGACGAAGTTTTACCAAGACTATGAGCTGGTGTAAATCTTTCATTCTAACATGAGTCTAATAGCTGGACAAATATCCCCTCAGATATGTTCTTAACTGTGATACTAGGTGAAGGCGACTTGAACCACATAAGATGTATTAGTTGCTTCAAGACCACAGATATTCTTTATTGATGAGTGGAAAATTACGCTTAACCAGGTTTTATAAAGGCTTCACGATTACTTCAATTCTTCATCGGTTTTCTTTTGGCCTGATCGTAATCTCTTGATTGTATGCTTCTCACTCACTTAGATATTTATTATCCATTATATATTGAACGTAATCGAAATATTTTTTTTATTCAGTGGAACTAGTATACAGTCGATAGAAGTTGTTCGTAAGTAATCTCATTCCTACCACATTACATGGTTTTAAGTTTGATTTAATATACGATATTAATTGTGCATTGCTCAATACATTTAAATGTAGAAAAAACTACTTACTTACTTATGCCTGTTACTCCCCGTGGAGGAACATATGCTACCCACCAACACTCTACATACAAACCTGTCCCTAGAAATCCATTCCAGCTCTTTCCAATTTCTATTCATCCTTTTCATATCTCATTCTATTTCCCAACGTAATGTTTCTACATGATTGTGTGTTTTTTAAACCGACTAGAAGGTAATATTGTTCAATAATATATTAATATGAATTTAGAAGGAGCTTAATTTCATTTTGTATTATTTGTTTGAATCTTCCGATTGATGTTTAGGACTATAATTGATCAGTCTTTCATTTGCATATGTGCATCCTGTGCGTATTGCCTCAATATTGCCTTAGGTCAAAAACATTCTAACCAAATATGGATAGTAGTTAGCGGTGGAATCCAGGACACACGTTTCTTCCTATTTCGGGCTCGTAGGCTGGATGTGTCTGCATTTCAGAGTGGGTAACACGACGTCGTTTAAAGCGAATGGTACTGGGTTCGAGTCTCGGAGTGAACATCAACTCTGGGATGCAGGTATATCTAAATTCTGAGTTCTAAATAGAACGAAAAACACGTCCTGGATTCAACTGCTAGCCATCATCCATTTTTGTTTATAATGCAAGAAAAAGCTGCTAATATCGAATTATTATAATTTTATTCTTATTGTCGATTTCAATCATTTAGAGATTTTTAGAGTAAATGAAAGAAGTCGTATGTCAAGTTCACATTTAAGCACTGTCGTTTTGTAAAGTCACCTTAATTGCATAGTTTAACAACGGACGCAAAACAATATATAACAATACGTTAATCATCCATGAAACCTTCCCTATCCATATACTTAAAAGTTTTTAGAAACTAACACCTCACAGAGGATGGAACGCAGAACCTGCATTTTGTACATTGAGCGCCTTATCTTTAAATCACTGATTTAGTATTCAATACTCTACATTTTCAACTGGAATTAATTTGCAGTATAATGCGATGGTCACTTATTATTAACAGTGATAACTGGGTGGTCGTTGTTGTTCTTTGTTATTTGAATGAAATTAGAAATATGAAATAATGTATAAAATATCAGTAGGCTAAATTATCAAGATCTGAAGGTTCATGGTAATATCTGAGACGTTGTTGTGAAGTTTCATATTAAAACAAAACATCTATCTACTGCTCTCTATATTTCAATTGTACCCTAACTAATGTCATTTCATGATGAATATAACTTACAAGTTAAAATAATCTCCAAAAAATCCACAACACATCAAGAAGCTGAAACTAAAATTTGTAGGATTTTATGTTAATGATTAAGTTAAATTCTTTTTTATTTTACATAGAATATGCCAAAAATGGTTTCTTTCCGATAAACCAGTCCTTCTCAGGAAAAAAATACACTGAAACCAGCTGAATTATTATTACATAATTTATAGATTGTATTCATTACAGTTTGGTCTTCATTACGACACCTTGCAAAAACCAGAAAACACTGGGTAACTATTTCATTGTCACATTACGAAACTCAAAAAACAGTATGTACCTAAGACTTTCTGATCTAAAATCAATAGTTTAACGATTACAGTCACTGGATCATGTCCATTTGATATAATTTCAACAACATAATACCACAATCATTTGTAACAAGTATAATGCAAAAAATTAATCTAATCTCCACAGAATCCTATCAACTAAATTATTAGATTTTCAAAAGAGGTTTTTATAGATATTATAATAATTTTAATAGTTGAACTTATGAGTCAATTAAAGTTAGACTACCATGAAAATTCTGGAAGCACTGAATGGCCGTTTCATCTTATTGTAACGACTTCTCAACAGTATTCATTCACGATCCCACTTTGGAAGATTCGAACTCAGAACCTATTGGTCTCGTGCACGAACGCTTTAACCTCTAGACCACTGAGTCAATCTACATCCAACAATATTAACATCTGATTTCAACTAATCTACAACATTGAACAACATATCCAACCAACAATGGTACTATTTAATATTAATTATTAAATAATATCAGAAGGGTTTGTGGAGATTTTAGAAATTTCACAGGTTGAAATCATGAGTCAATTGAAGCTAGACCACCATGGAAAACCTGGAAGCACTGGAAGACCGTTTCGTCCTAGTATGGGACTCCTCAGCAGTGCACATCCACGATCCCGCACCCCGCGAGATACGAACCTAGGACCTATCAGTCTCGTGTCAAGCGCTTAACCAACTAGACCACTGAGCCGGCATCCAATGGTGTTGATTTTTAAATTCAACCAATCCACGGAGTTGCGCCACCGTATGCCATTATCTTAAGTGAGCTGATATCTCACAACAGACCGTCCAGTGCTTCCAGGTTTTCCATAATCGTCTAGCTTCAATTGACTCATAATTTCAATCTATTAAATAATACTAATAATTTTTTTTTCTAAAATCATTCTTTATTTTCTTAGTTAGAATATGATAGTTTAGCTGCTCAATGTGGACAAATTATGAATGGTGATCAAATCTTAGGTATTAATGGTAAACGAATTAAATCAAGAGAACATGTTATTGATTTATTTCAACAAAGTAAAAAAACGGTAACATTATTGATTGCACGTGAAAAATGTCAAACATTCAAAGAGAATAATACATTAATTAATATAAATTTAACCAATACTAAAACATTGAATACAATTCAATCCAATCCAATAAAAAATGAATCAATCAATCAATTTTATACAAATAATGAATTATCTATAACAACTATCAATAAGAATTGTACAGATTATCCTGTAAGTTTTTTGTTTTTTTTGTTTGTTTGTTTGTTTGCTTTGAAGTAAGAAAGATTAGTTCAATGAAGAGTTCTATTTTCGGCGAATTTATTTTCAAGAATGGTAACTTTCGGATTCACTTCGGCAAAATTTGACAGAATAACGCAGAAACTCATTAAGTTCTGTCAAATTTGTGAAAGTGAATACAAAGGTTACCATTCATGAAAATAAATTTGCCGAAAATAGAACAGCTCGTTGAACTAATCTTTCTTACTTAATGTTTTATATTTAATATCAATTAGTCCCATTTGATGAATTTCGATAGTGTAATAAAAAGACAAAGATTATCAGAACTAATGTGATGATATATATTAGCGGAATACATTTCGAACAGTCTGATCACACATTATATACTTGTTAAGCACATTTATATATAAAAATAAATGATCTACTAGACTAATCACAAATGATTGAACACTGGGTGGTGATCAAGGTCATGTGTGCCAGGTCCTTCTTAGTGCAGATCTAATGCTATCGACCAAATTGTAATGTGGTCACCAGTCTAGGTGAGTTGATGCTGTCTCCACCAACCATCTAATCTCACAATAGTGCATTCAGTGTCGAGTTACCTAGACTAGTGGCCGCATTTCAACTTGGTCGATAGCATTCGATCTGCACTAATAAGGACTTGACACACATGACATTGTTCACCACCCAGTGATCAATCAGTTGTAAATACATCTCATTCCTACAGGAGGTCAGTCGCGACCTGGATAGCTCAGTGGTAACGTCTCTGACTGTGAGGCTGGATGAAACGGTATCGAATCCGCCAGGGAGCACCAGTTCCCTCAAGATTACAGGTACACCTTACTGACGGGTGCCAAGTAGCACCAAACTTGAGTCCAGGGTTTCCTGTTGACTACCTCCTACTACCATCTGATATGCTAGACCAGAAATGGAGTGTAAGTGAAGACAAGGATGGTAAGGAAAATAATAATGTAAAAACAATTCAAAACCTCATCACTCTGGTTAATAAGGTAATATTACCATAGTAGGTTTAAGGTGAGAACAAACTGTTTTTGAATAAACAAAGAGGGTTTGAATTTTCGTATGGTTAAGGCTTCAATAAACCTTAGTGAAGTTTGTATTTTGTTGTTCTTTTTATTGTTGTCACTTTTTTCCTCCTAATTTTGTCTGAAAAACTGTACCGTTGTTATTGTTGCCGAATTTTGTTTTCTAAAAAGAAAGCAGGACTACTAAAACTAGGAAATAGTAAATGAATGTTTCGTCCCTATTTTGAAATTCGTTAGAAATATGCATTTGTGAATTAATTATCGTAATGTCAATGGTTAAGATCATGAGTCAGTTGAAGGTAGACCAGTCTGGAAAGCCTGGAAGCACTGGAAGGCCGTTTCGCCATATCGTGGGACTCCTCAGCAGTGCGCATCCACGACCTCGACCTCTGCGAGATTCGAACTCAGGACCTACTGGTTTCGCGCGCCAACCCTTAAACACTAGGTCACTGAGCCGACATCCAACGGGGTTAGTGTCTAACTCTAATTAATCCACGAAATTGAGCAACACATCCACCATTGTCTGCAGTGATTACTATCTCACAACAGAATGAAGCCGAAATCTACGAATTGGTACCACACAGAGGTATCACACAATTACAATTGAATAGTGATCAATGTCACATTATTGCTCTTTAGTAATGATTGAATTTGATCAACAAGGTTACAAGGTGATCAGTTCATTAATCAGTGATTTGACATCAGATCAATTATGTTGAGATCTCAGGTGGTTTGAGATAGTCAATAGAAAACCCTGGTTGACATAAATTTCGTATTAGTTGGAATTTGTCAATAAGATGCATAAGTAATTTTGAGGGAATCAATGACGAGTTCAAAATCCCCCCCTTAAAAAATTTAGGTCAAAAAAGGTTTCCTGTGGAATACTTTCAACCATATAATTAGTGGACTCATAAACTTATATCACAAATCTAAATAGTCAGTCACATAACAAAGTGCTGAAAAATTCCCATTATATTAAAAACACAATTGTATGAACGAAGAATATTCTTTTCAATAATTTCTCATCAGGTTCTACAATTATAAATCCAGATTAATAATCCATAAAATTGGCCAGATTTAAGGCAAAATACATCATTTAGAAATTGCAATATGTGAATCAGGAATTGTTTGTTATATAAAATAAAATTGTTAATGTTGGGGCTGACTAGTATGAAGTGTTAACTTGAATCAGTTTATCAGCGAAATGAAATTGTGGGATAAATAAAGATCAGAATAAATATGGTCAACATGGGGTAAGAGAGAGAGAGAGAGAGAGAAAATTGTGATTACAAATCGGAAATTGCGTAATATGTAAAATAATTAGGTCAAATATAGTAGATTCAGGGGTGGATATTGAATAAATTCATCAAAAAGGGGGTTATCAAGTGTAAAGACAATAATAATAATAACAGTAATAATAATAACAGTAATAATAATAAGTTTGGGACATAAAATGAACATTAATCAGATTACGTCACCATATTTTAAAATTGATTATTAGCTAGTTGGCCAGGGTAAAAGGAGTGGCTGAACATACTTCTTTTGGATACAAAGCTCTGGCTTTTTGATCCGAATAGCAATTGCTTCAGCCGTCTGTAGGATTCGCAGTCTGACGGAATTAGGTAGACTGATGTTGACACGGTAAACTATTGCAAAAGATTGCTCGATGTTGGCTGTATGTCCTGTTTGGACTAAATGGTCTAAGATGGAGCTGTTAACAGTTTTGACAACATCTTTGCTTAACCACACGGGTGGGTGCTCACGAGCCCGAATGTACAAATTCCTAGAACATCTGCCAATATAACTTGCTCCACAGGAGCAGTTAAATTGATAGATACAGAAGGAGGTGGCTAGTCTAGGCAATTTATCTTTCAACCTCGGAGTGATTATTGGTCGTGTGGAAAATACTAGTCGTAGTTTAGCTGCGTTAAAAGTCCTTTGAATTGATCTACTTAACTTGAGTCTTAACATTTCACTCGGCGCGTCACCTCTGAATTGTAAGCGTATATATAGAGGCTTTCTATTTACCGTTGGGTATTCTATACGCTGTCTTTTATTGGCTAAGTTTTTATTTATAAATTTCTCTGGATATCCGTTTTCTTTCAGGGTTGTAAACAATGTCTTAGTTTCATCTTCAATCGTATCCATAGTGCATATAGTCTTGATTCTATGATGTAGTGTCTTGATAAGGTTCCTTTTTTGTTGTGGAGGAACGGAACTGAAAAAATTAGTATATTGACCCGTCTAGGTCATTTTCCTGTTTATGTTTCTTTTTAGCGATCCATCTTTTCTCCTTGTAAGTAGAACATCTAGGAAGGCTAATTTACCCCCATTTTCTTTCTCACATGTGAATTTTATGGACGAGTGAGCCCTATTGAATTGCTCGAGTGTTCTTATCAAGTCCGTATGCTCGTTACAAAGTATTAGAATCTCCATTTTCCTATGATATCTTGAATTTTAGTCTTTCAGTCTTTCCATTCACTTATCTAAATATGACCATTGTAAAAATTGATCAACGAAGTTGGCAATGATATAAAATGTTCAGAATTTTGAGCATGTTTAGACTGATTCATTTTATTTCACTAATTTGCTTACTTTTCTATTTTAACTTACTTTTTCTCATTTCTTGACCGATCCTCACAATAAATATTAAGTAATCTTCAGTTAGATATTAAAGATTCAGAAATCAACATCTGATTGATGTTCATTCCTTTCAATGAACATTACCAACCAACACGATGATTCGGATTGTAATTTTATTTTGTAACTTTCACAGTGAAAGATCGTAAATGTACTTTTTTGTAACTTGTAAAACAAAAGGTCACCTGAATAGGTTATGTAATTAATAGACATAATATGTTAAAATAAACCAAGAAACAGATAACTTGTTGAAATATTTAGATGGCAGGTACAGGTAGCTTAGATATTCAAGCAGGTAGCCATATTCCTCCTCCTCCTCCTCCTTCACTTACTCTTTCATTCACTCACTATGTTACCACACTACATATATACTTCTTCTTTCATACAATAAAGATTTATTTATAATAAGACGAAATAAGTTTATTCTTTTATTTTCATTTCTATTTACTTTTCAATCTGATATTAGTCAATTCAGTAATTTTCATGCCGATTGATTTCATATTACCATAAATGTAGAATTCATGATTATTCTTTATTTGTTGTTCTTTTATCAATGACCAATACTACTAATATTATTAATCATCAACATCTAATTTCTCTATGTCTATGTTAAAATGATTATTGACTTCCCGTCAAATGTCAGAACCATTATTATTATTATTATTATTATTATTATTATTATTATTATTATTATTACTATACGATAAAATATATATTAAAGTTTACGAACCAGTTTGTAGACGTATCAAGAAATGATATTTTATGACTCACCTATTTGTGTATATCTATGGCGAATTTTCGTTTTAATTACGATCATACACAAGCACATAGATACATAGATATATTGATATCCATAAACATAGACTTTGTAGATTGTTGGCAATATAGTAAATATAAGATTTAATCATAGTATTAAAAACTTGAATACGTAATTGTATTCTATATTTGTATTTTTTTTCTATTAGTGAATTCATCAGGTTAAACTATTGTATAGGTCATATCATTTTTAAGGATATTATGTTGAATGAAATGACTTCAAGAGGAATTTCCTGGGGTTCTAGTGAGAAGCCATGACCAGTAGAATTCAACCACATCTGTTGTGAGATATCAGCTCACTGAAGACAATGGAATGCGGTGACGCGAATTCGTGGATTGGTTGAAGTTATACATTAACATCGTTGGATACCGGTCGGATCAGTGGTCTAATGGTTAAGCGCTTGCACGCGAGACTGGTGTGGTCCTGCGTTTGAATCTTGCGAAGAGCGGGATCGTGGATGCGCACTGCTGAGTAGTCCTATACTAGGATTAAACGGCCGTCCGGTGCATCTAGGTTTTCAATAATGGTCTAGCCTATTACCACAATCTCCACAAAACTCCCATCGCAATAGTTCTATTTATTTAAACTCATAAACATTGGTATAAGGAGGCACCAAATAGATATGCGCCATATAAATCATTGAACTTATGTAAGGGTTGGGATACTGCACGTGTGCCCAAACCGAAGCAGGCGGTTTTCTTGGAAGGCCACACTCCGGGCCTTTGACCTAAAGGTCTGATCTACATGGCAGTAGAGCAACGTCAGGAGATACAGCCACAAGGTAGCCGGTGACCAGCAATCGGCTCATACGCTATTTGTTTCCTTAGGATCCTGGGGCCCATATGCACTATTGGTTTGGAATCAGTGTTTTCCAACTCCCCTAGGTGGAACTTCCATATCCACCAACTCTGTTAAAGCGCTGGATATTCGCTTTTCGTTTTCACCATTTCGTAAACAATACTCGTATCAGTATACTATATTCTGCGTTAATCAAGTAGCGAACATAACAGTTGTCTGATAATAAATTAAACTATTTTTCACTGAAAAGTAGAATTATTTGAAATGTAAGAATTATAAGGGATGAATACAAACACATAATCAAAATGAAGCTGTTAATGAAGGTTTGTAACCATGAGTTCAGATAATCGTGTGTACCCTTAAACAGAAAACGAAATCTTCTGGCACAACTTACTGAAATAATACCATACATCTATATGATAGATATTAACCATCTTACAAAATACTCCTGGCATACTCACCATTAAAAATAGGGAAGGAGGTAATATAATTAAGTATGAATATAATATTTAAAAGTCAATCAGTTCCCTTCTCTACACAATGTAATTTTTATACTTAGAATGTAGACTGTCATTAGTCACATTCTATGTATACTCTTTCTAAGTCTTATTACAAATTCTAGGTAAATATAAGTATAATATATCAGTTATCTTACGTTGAAGATTAATCTTAGCTTACTTACTCATGTGTTAAGCGTTGAACCACTATGTACTGTGTATTCATGTGACAATCAGTCGTATTGAACGAAAAAAGATCTTCCTAACTGCTCAGTCGTCATTATTAATTATGCAGTAATATGTTATACAATTATTCATTATTTCTGTTAATATAAGCTAAATGACACTATGACAATTATGAATAAACTGAATAACCGTCAATGTGACATATACAACATGTCATTATCATTATTATTATTATCATTATAACTATTACCATTACTGTAGTGGGCGAGGACGACCAAATTTATTCTAACACACCATTACAGAATATCTTAATAAAATCTGTGAACCATACAGTAAATAATTCATTTGCAAAATATTCATCAACTGTCTCAGACTTTGTTGTTCTCCCGTTTCCATACAAATCACTTTGTTCTAGTTCTCATCTCTTTGGTGATACATAGTACTTATATCTGTCGAAGTCGGTAGCACACACCACACAACAACAGCAACTACTACTACTGTAGTGGACGCGAACACAAGTACGTTTGAACACAAAATTACCGAACATCTTTGTACAATCTAAGAACCATACAGTAAATACTTCATTTGCACAATTTTCATTAATTGTCTCAGACCTCATTGTTCCTGCATTTCCATATCAATTGCTTTCTGTTCCAGTTCCTTCCCTCCTCGATTTTATCGACCTTCTGCTGCCAAACATTCTATTCCTGACTAGCGTTATATACTACTTATGTCGACATAAGTAGTGCACACCACACTACTACTACTACTACATTTTATGGACTATTTTAACGCTCAGTTCTTTATGTTGTATATAGGTTTTTTTCTCACACACCAAACGATAATTATACTTTCTTATATAGATTTTTGCATGTGAAAAGACTGTACAATTTTAGATATCGAGAGATATTATAATTATATGCAAACTAAGGCCTTGTTAAATTCAATATCTTACTGATATGTGTTATATATATATAGGAACCATGTACCTGTTTATATTCGATAATTTTGATGTTTGATTATATTTCCTTGAAAAAGGTTAGACCAGATTGTCAGGTGAAACATTGGATTTAATTCCAATTCATTCGATGAGATTTTACAAATACATTCTGCCTCTTTAATATCTCACATCATCTCGGCGCCGAAATACTATAAAACTATTCATTCAGATTTAGACGAAAGTTTTTATGTGTTACACATAGTTTGCTTTTTAAAACAAAATTTAAATCTTCACAAACAATTCTATATGTGTTCCTAGGGAAAATTTAAGAAAATCATCGGTAACAACTGATTGATCACTACTTGATGATAAGCTATTTTGAATATGCCAGCTCTATATGAAATCAGTGACTGATCGATTAATTTATTGTTAACTCAGACTATGAAACTGAGTAATATGGAGTTGAACCTGACTGAATGCATCAGTATACCTTCCTGAAAAAAACATCAAATTATCTGAATATTTGGTTGAACAAAGTTTTCTGTTAACTACCTCCAATCATCTAAAATTATTGTGGGGGGGCGGTCAATTTTTCCTTCGATTGACATTTTTGTGCTCTAATCAAATTTGATTAAAATTGTAGAAACCAATACTGAAATAAACTAGAATTTTCATACTCAAAATTTATAAAGAGCTTGACAACATGAAATGGCGTTAATTTACAAAAACACTAAGTCTTAGAAACGAAAATAATGTTAAGAGTCGGCAGTGTCATAGAATTATACTGTAAAATGATTGTCATAATAACATGTATGTAAAGACTACTGGTTGGTAACACAGAAGACGGTTTATATACACAGTGTTTGTTTTTCTGATGGAATTTAAATGATCTTTTACTGTAATATTCAACTAGTTTAGAATAGATAAATTGTATCGAACAACAAAATCTATGTCGTGCATTTTGTTCTATTTCAAACTCATTAGTTGAATCTGACTATAGCTGTGTTGAATTTCACACAGGGAATTAAATTCAGTATTTCTTGTATTTTGTTTATGTTAATGGTATTTTGCATGATTAATTTATAAACTAGAAGTTATTTAATTGAGTGAATCACGAAGATTAATTAAGTATAAAAATAATTTATTCATCAAAGATTGATAATAAATGGGAAACTAGAAGGCGCTATCTCTAGCGGGTGAGCAAGGAAGAGCGAGTCACTACCGATGAAAAGGAATAGTTGTCAAAATTGATTAAATTTGATAGTGTTGGCTACTGGGTTATATGATTACGCTTTCATCTCAAGGTCAAATGAACTCACATCGTATATCTACCACCATTGCGATTACACATTGTTGTATGATACTTCATAGATTTCGTAACCCAATATCTGTCTCCAATTAGATCGTATGATTGGTTGTTATTGAAACATGCACATATCGACTATCCTCTTATCTAAGTATCAACTTAATCCACTTTAGTGAATAACGGAATTAAATAAGACAAATACAAGTATGGATGTTTAGATACATGAATTTTGTGCACTCGTTGGTCGGAACAGACAATCAGAGAATCGCAGTGAATGAAGCGAATAAGAGAAATGAAAGTATGAGCAGTAGAGGTGTGTGAACCAACTCCATTTAATCAAGCGTTAATCAATATTAATATTCACACAAAAATAAGCTACAGACATGGGATGAATAGGATAAGAGCATACATATACGCTCCTATATAAACAGTTGGAGTTGATAAGTGAATAACTAACAAGGTCAAAACGTAACTCAAGAAGAATGAATAAACTTGTCTGTTCAAAAGCTAGAATAAGCTTTGTGGGCTTAACATAGTAACTGACACTACAATATGAACAAACATACTTCAAAATTCTCCCTATTTTCAAAGAGAGATAGTTGTACTTTGAATTTAGTTATTCTAATATAAATTATTTTTTAACTGTAATATTTTCAATAGTTAAAATCATGAATCAATTGAAGTTAGACCAGTATGGAAAACCTGGAAACACTAGACGGCCGTTTCGTCCTATTTTGCGACTGCTCAGTAGTGAGCATCCATGTTATATAAAAATAATTAAGAATTCATTGAAATGATTATTGATGTATTTCAGATTATTAGAATTATTGTTAATTGAATATAAATTGTTTGTTTATATTTATATTAACTTCAAGGTTTATAAGCGACCTGATCAAGATTCTGGTATGGGTAGGACAACTGATGAAAGTGCACGTACAGAAGAAAGTTCAGAACAAGTATGTATTTTAAAGTTATTTTAATTTGTTCAACTATATTCATATTTGAATGTTATAAACTGAAGAAATAATAACTGAGCGAATGTAGCTAACAGTCGATTAGTTTATATAATTCTCCATGAAGTATATCAATTGGAATGTGATTATAATTACTGTTGACGTTATTTATAGACAATAAAAAGGTTTACAAAATGATACTTTTGAACACAAATATATGAATTTAGTAGATGAATTCATGAGTCAACTGAAGCTAAACCGCTATGGAATAACTGAAAGCACTAGATGACCGTTTCGTCCTAATATGGGACTCTTCAACAGTGTGCATCCAAGACCCCACTCACGGGATTCGAACCCAAGACCTATTGGTTTCGCGCACGAACGCTTAACCTCTAGACCACTGAGCTGACCGGCATTCAACGGTGTTAATGTTTAACTCCAACCAATGATTGAACTTACACTGATATACTTCATTTTTAAAATAAATGATTGGTTCCGTTAAGTCAAACACGATGAGACTATAATTTACACTAAACTGACCTCAAGAATATCCACCCACTTACTTGATTTAGATGTGGGTTATGAATTGGTGTAAGGAATTGGGATGTTAGGGTTAGGAATTAGATTTAGGGTTTTTATCACGAAATGACATCAGTTATAATGCAAAAAAAGGAAATGTTATTTAACTATAGCTATATGGATGAATGAATTTCTCGCCAAAATTCAAGAACTATCATAATAAATCTTATTGGTTCGTCAATAAATTATAGTCTTGACTCAAAAACATAAAGTTTATATTTTAATTTTTATATATGTAGCTGAACAAAATGTCCAGTTTAACACCTTCAATGAAATGTTGAAGCGCCATGAACGCTGATAAAGTCCCTTTTGAATGACTATGTATTGATGTATGGTGAATCTATACACGTAGATGCTTCCTAAAATATATATATTAATGGTATTATCTTTCACAGAAAAACACCAATATAGTTTTCATACAATTTCATTAATGAGTAACTATCCGACTTGTGACTTGATACGGTTCACGGGTTATGGCTTTTTCACTTATTCTTCATGAAGGAATCAAGAATGTAAACAGTTGGAGAGTTTCAAGCAAAACTAAAAACAGTTGTTTGATGTCTCCTGATTTACAAGGAATCTACAAAACTGTAGAAATTAAACAATTTGTGTACACAATCAGCATTTTAATAGTAACATATAATTTAATGTCACCCATTTATCTCTGTGCTGTTTTACTCATCTTAAGCTCAATTCAAACTCTTTCTTTAATCTACCCTGTATTATTTTGGTTTCAACTAATCTGAGTTTTCGAATGTATCATCTTCATCATTTATTTCAACTAGTGAATAAGTCCTTATATTATCTTTACTTAAAAAAGATGTGAATTATCCAGTACACTAAGGAAAACAACTCGACCTCATATCTGCATGCTTATACACCTTACAAAGTGTAAAAAACTAGTTATGAAATTTTGACAGTATTTGACTTAGATTGACTGGACTGCCTCTACGTCCTATTATGGAACTCTTCAGCTGTGATTATGCAAAACCACTAATGGGTGGGAATCAAGACCTTCATATCGCATGACGAGATCGTTATCATTCAACCACTGAGTTGGTATTCAATGCTTCACATTCACCTCAACGACTATTTAATATCATAGGTGATGACTGTTTCATTCACTACCACAACTGAACGCCTTGGGTTAGCCTCTTGAGATGATCGTGAGTATACATTACGGATAAACTTAATACTAAAACTGGACACTCATCAACCCACCTGTAGTATACAGTGATATTTTATCTATGGTTAGTCTGTGACAAATATCACCGAAAAATCAAACTAATCCCAGATAAACTTCTTCATAATTTATGAAATGTACAAACTTTGTACTTCATGTCTTAATCATTTTTCTTTGCCTACAATTTGGTATGCTATAACCATCAAGTGAGAAAATTCAAAACTCCAGATCTCTTTTAATGATCCTCTTGTTAACAAAGACAAACAGTGTATAGAAATTTAACGAAGTTGTTAAGTTCTACACACGATGTCACTCTTTGCATTACATCATTTGAACTGGTAAACAAACATGAAGGAGATAAATTCAGACTATTTGTCCCCATTTCACGTTGTCTGGAAGTAACAGTTGCTTACAGTTTATATTTTGCGTACATTTGTAATAGCCGGCCCTATGTCGAGCCTACATAGGTTATTTTAGTTCTGGACCAAAAAATTAATCATTCTTCTTGAGTCATATTTTGACCAAGTTAATTATTCGCTTTGACTCGTCTTGACTTGCTTTGCCTTGTTTCGTCTCACTTCGATTCGTTTTGATTATAAATAATGAGTGATGCTTAATTAAAAGAGATTAGATAACATTCCCAGCTCCAATCCGTTTTGCTTTGCTCTCTCCTTTGATCGTCTGTCTGTTCTGATCAACGATTGTACAAAATAAACATATTCAAAACTTTATTCTCATATTTGACTTGTTTAATTCCGTCATTCACCAACGCGATTTAAGTCGCTGATTATATACAAGGGTAGTAGGACATATATTTCGACAGCAATCATTCAATAACGATCATTCGTACGATCCATTTGAAGTCAGATATCGGGCCACTAAAATTATTTAAAAAACGATTTTTGACCGTCTTTATTAATAATTCATAAGCGATATAATTTCTGAACTCTTGTTTGAAGGGTAATAGCTTATTTGAAACCCTTGTAACTCAGTTTCACCTTGAATTGACTAAGTTTTTTGGCTAGTTTCTGACTGGTACAAATTTTCTTTCCCTAAAAAAACATAAACTTTGTTTGTTTTGAAAAAAATATAGGAAATTGATAATGATCAACATCACCACCATCAACAACAACAACAACAACAACAACGTACCAATTTTATTCATGGATTGGAACAAATAACTAAATTAACATGTGAAAATGATCAATTAAACAATATCTCACCTGGTAACTCATTATCACAAGATGCTACATCATTAGATCCCAGATTAGCAATTCCATCAGATGTATTCAGTGATTACGATTCAATTGATCCAATCGATCAAGAACTTGTACAACTTGGACGTTTAATGCAATCATTAGCAGTACATTGTAAACAATTAGTACAAGCTAAATTGCAATATAATAGAATACAATATCCATTATCTATTGTTGGTAATTGTGCTAGACAACATGAAGGAAATGATTCTATTGTACAACCAAAAACAATGTCAACGAAGATGATAACATCAACGACAGATTTAGGAATCAGTTCATCATCCATTCCAACAGCAACAACAACAACATCATCCTCATCATTGTTATCGTCAAAAATATCAAATCAACCAACAGAAAATTGTTATTATTCAACTGGAAATAACAACTTACAAAATACTAAATGTATAATTAATAAATCTAATGAAGGAATTTCAGATGGATCACCATTATTATCTACCAAAGATAATAGTCATAATATGTCAACTAGATTACCACGAATGGGAACTCGAATGGAACCATCAATAATGGGTTCAATTAGTTCAAATGATTCCAGTGGTTCATTTCATGATAAAAATTTAAAAATGTCAACCATTACAACAACTGGAAAATTATCCCATGGTCGATTCCCATCAAATATTAGAGGTAAGTCATAGTAACCGCTTTTAAAATTAATAAATTGTCGTTTAATCATTTGAAATTCGTTGTGAAAACGAATTACTAATGGAAAATATCATTTAAAATTCTTTAAAGGAATTCGGCGTATCCATTATTGTTATTGATGGAATTTTGTTCTCTGAGCTGGATGGTTTGATTGTGGTGATCTCGTCGTTCTTCTAAACAACATCGTCAGCAAAAAATTTGAAAAGAAGTCTTGAAGTTTGTGTTGACGATGTCGTTCATAAGAATGATGAAAGCTCTACAACCAAACCATCCAACTCAAAGAACAAAACTCCACCATAATCATCCACCTGAACTAAACATCTTCTGCACTATTTCATTATGGTTACTTATTAGTTGATTGTAACTTGTTCTCAGTGGATAATGATGTTTACCACTTGGATTTAACCATAATATTTAATCTTGAATCTCACAAGAATCTTAAGAAGGTAATCAACTTAAATGGTAATTAAAATGATAGACTGTTAAATTTACACTTTGAATTATATTTTGCTATGGGATTCAAATAATCTCCCTAAACAAGTTTTCTCACTGTTTTAATGATGAACATTGATTTTACAAGATTTATTTTTGCCTAGAAAGTGATTTCTTAGTGAATTCATGGACCATTTTTATGTTAGATTAATCTAGAGTGATGTGGAATAAAAGAATTCACAATTGATTGATCACTGGGTGGTGATCAAGGTCATGTGTGTCAGGTCCTTATTTAGTGCAGATCGAATGCTATCTACCAAGTTGCGATGTGGCCACCAGTCTAGGTGACTCGACACTGAGTACACTATGTTGAGATAAGATGGTGGTTGGACATAGTCAACAGGAAACCCCAGACTAAGTTTCGTGCTACTTGGCACTCGTCAGTAAGGTGTGCCTGTGATATTGGGGGGACTGATGCTCCCTGACGGATTCGATCTCATGTCACCCAGCTTCACAGTTAGAAATGTTACCACGGGATCGAATCAGTTAGGGAGCGTCAGTTCCCTGAAGATTACAGGTACACCTTGCTGAAGAATTTCAAATAGCATTAAACCCCGAGTGCAGAGTTTCCTGTTGACTAACTCCAACCACCATCTTATATCGAAATAAAACGATATTAATGTTTTACTGAGGATTTGTGATATAAAAAAATGAATTCAATCCGACTTATTATCCATAAATAACTTTAGAGTTCCATCCGGGGATGAAACATCTGATCTTTCGTTCTTGGTTATCAATGATTGTTTAAAAAATATCAGTTAGTAATGTAAACAACAAAGTTTCATCTGTACAAACCCTCTATACCGATTACTTTGGATAGTGATTGCTACTTACTAAGCATCAATACATGTTACAACTTTTCCATTCGATCTTCAACATATACTTTGATAAATATTATACAGACATTTAAATAGATAGGTTTAAGGTTAAAGTATCCATGATAACATCAACACCGAAATCTAGCTACATCTTACTAACAAGTCCCTAATCAAAAAGTAATTTGCATCTTGGATTCCACTGCTAGTTACTAACCAATAAAAATATTTAAATAATTAATCCTAATTATAAGACATTACCCAAAATGTTTGTCTTTTTTTTTTCTTTTCAAACACTGACAATAATGGTCACGACAAAATGTATCTTATAAATAACCATAATAATTCGATTAAAATAATTATTTAAACTGAATGAAAAATTGTTCGTTTCCTCTTCCCATTACTCTAATTACTATGACAACTAATATTAATATTATTGAAATGCATTCGAATATTTATTTATTACTTTGACAACCTAGACATAATACACATGATGTTTATCAACTTTTTTTTTTTAAAAAAAATTTCATTTAATACTTATCAACAAGCTGTAACATACACAGTGATATCAAATAATAGAAATATTGTATTGTTTCTTTTTCATTTCAATAATGACAGATAAATGTTATGGTCTATGTGAAATGATCATTTTTTTTAAAATAAATTGTGTTTTAAATAAGGGGGAGGGGGGAGAGAATGAAATATTATGTTTTTAATATCTTTTTTTTTCATAGAGTTACATTAGAAACTGTATACTTTGGTTTGTACAGTATGCTGTTTTTGAACTATTATTATTAATACCAGCTTCAATCATCTGTATCTCTTAAAGCATAGAATTGATTTATCTGAATAAGAGATGATGATGAAGAAGAAGAAGAAAGGGATATTAAGATTTGATTTAACACTTGTAATAAATGAAATCTGTAGATTTTGTGCTTGATTAACATTGAATAATGTGGGAAATTTTAATTAAGATTAATGATTAGATGAATTATTATTTAGAGTATAGGGTGAAGTTAAACATAGTTTAGCTGATCAGATGGTGGTTGGAGGTAGTCGATAGGAAACCCTGGACACGGGTTTCGTGCTACTCGGTACTCGTCAGCAAGGTGTACCTGTCATCTTGAGGGAACCGATGCTCCGCGACGGACTCGGACCCATGTGGCCCAGCTTCACAGTCAGAGACGTTACCACTGAGCTATCCGGGCCGCGACCGACCTCTTGTAGGACTGAGATGTAATCACAATTGATTGATCACTGGGTGGTGATCAATATCATGTGTGTCAAGTCCTTATTAGTGCAGATCGAATGCTATCGACCATGTTGCAATGTTATATACATTGTTACAGGTACACCTTACTGACGAGTGCCAAGTAGCACGAAACCCGGGTTCAGGGTTTCCTGTTGACTACCTCCAACCACCATCTAAATCTCAATACATGGTGCCCGCAGTGTCGAGTCACCTAGACTGGTGGCCACATTGCAACATGATCGACACCATTCGATCTGCACTAAATAAGGACTAGACAAGCATGACCTTGATCACCGCCCAGTGATCAATGAATTGTGGTAGTTTAGCTAAAGAATATTTTAAAATTGACAAAGTGGTTAGATATAGTTAACAGCTTGGGTTATTTTTATAAAGTTTTGTTCTTTGAGCTGAATGGTATGGTCGTGGAGCTTTCATCGTTCTTCTGAACGACATCATCAGCACAAACTTCAGGTAGAAATGAAGTGTTGAAATTTTCCCACATATGGTTCACAACTTGTCTTGTAGACCTCAATGTTGATTAGTTCTTGTTGACATTAATCATGTCATTGTTAACTTCTTTGTCTTGGTTGTATATCTCATTGATTTAGGTTATTCTTAATCTTATAAGAACTGATACTGGTAATGAGATTCGGATGCGAAACAATCAACTTAGTAATTTAAGAGGTTACGTAACATACAAACAGAATATGGATGGTAAAGTTGTAAATAATAACAGAACTAATAATTTAAAATAAATTGAAAACCAAATACGTAATTGTAAACACTAAGAGTAGTGATAACGTTAGCATATAACGTGAAGGAACAAAATATGGACAACTAGTTGTATGCTTAATATATATATATATATATATATATATATATATATATATATATATATATATATATATATATATATATATATATATATATATATATATTACTGCATACAATTTCTCAACATTAAGGAGATGAAAAATGTAAAATGTATTAGTGAATCAATGAAAATAATATTCAATAAGAATAAATTGATCTGTAACTAAGGTATATTGTCTGACTTATCAGAAAGGGGGTTTTGTGAAGAGTTTATTAATTTAATAGTTGAATTCGTGAGTCAGTTGAAGTTAGACCACCATGGAAAACCTGAATGTACTGAACGGCCATTTCGTCCTAGTATGGGACTCCTCAGCAGTACACATCTAGTGTTATCAGGTTTTCTATGGTGATCTAGATTCAATTGACTCATGAATTTAACTATTAAATGATTTATCTTAGTTTGTTATTCAATCAAAAAGTTTATAAATAAAACTTGGGAATCTCACAGTAAGTACAATACTATCTGTTCATCCATTGACTTCAATAGTTCACATTTTCTGTGTTCTATTATTTTATATGTTATATTACTAAACGGCTAAGTACCTCTCAATTTAGCTAAAGTATAAAACTAAAGACTTTCTATTAGATTTTCAAGAAATTCATTAACGATTCAATAACTAGAGAAGATTATTAGACAGGTGGATTGTAACTTGTATCTTTCTTTTTTTTTAAAATATACTTTTGGTTGTTATACATCTACACATAGATATAGATATAAGCGTTGCTGTATACAAAACAGACGCCTGATTCACACCAACATTCATTATGTTGTTTTCATTTTGGTATCTATTCTATTGCATTAATGGTAAATATATTACAGATAAGGATGATGATGTGTTTGTGGTGGTGCTATATTTCCCAATTTATTTTCTATCATACAACTTGAATTAAATAATCCCATTATTATTTTCTTTTTTTTCATCTGGTACTTGATTTCGTAAAAATAAGCTTTAATACATCATAAATCTATTAAGGATTGTATTCATTTCTGTATTCTAAACATCACCTGGTGTATACACATAGAAAACAATGTAGTTTTAACTCTCTCTCTCTCTCTCTCCATACCTATACAACCTCTTCTTCTACACATGTTACAAACACATACGTATATATTACTAAGACCGTATATTATCAGTATATGTATACATATATCAAAGAAATACAATCATTTTCTGATGTGAGATTAAACTGAACACCTTCACCTTATGTTATATGTAACCTATAGAATTGATAAGTATTCGAATACAATTTTCTAAATGAAATCTTTTATTTATAATCAACGTTAAATCATACAGAGAAAAATAAAACAACACCAACACCACCGACAACAACAACAACAACAATAAATCCTTCAAATTACACCTTTAAGGAAAATAAGTAGACATTGTAATAGATTATACACATCTATCTGTTTAATAGTTCATGTCTAGCATTTACCATTTCAACCTTGATTCATATATACATAGATACATACATTAATTCTTTATATTCTTCTATGTTTTCATCTTTTTATAATCAATTATATTCGTTTATATAATAGTAAGAATATGTTTACTACTATTAGTAATATTACATTCATCTATCATTAATAACCGTTAATGAAAAGAAATCAAAGCATCTTTGTTTAGATTTCTATGAATCATCATACATAATCATTAGTATTCTTCATGTATACATTAGAAAATAAGGCGATTTCTTCTTCTTTTTCTTCTTCTTCTTCTTCTTCTTCCCATTACTACTGTTCTTACCGCCATTTTATTGTTTGAACATGTATATGTCATCATTGCCTGATTGTAAGTTAGTAAATGAATAAGTGATGGTATACATGATGTATGTTTATAATAGGAAAGTGTATATATACTTTGTAAACAAACAAAAAATTCAAAGTAAATTCTTCATTTGTTTACACTAAATGTAGAAGTATCTTAGAACAAATAAATAAATAAATAGATTCACTTGAAATTAAAGTTTTATTTTTTGTAAACATGATGCTTTATTTACTCCGAAAAAACAAACAAATAAGTATCTATTACATGAGTCATTTGTAAACAAGTTAAGATCATGAGTCAGTTGAAGCTAGATCACTGTGAAACCTGGAAACACTAGACGGCCGTTTCGTCCTATTGTGAAACTCCTCAGCAGTGCACATCCACGACCTCACCCCAGGATTAAATGAATGTACATCGCATGATTTACAATAGATTCGAATCAATAAAATTGAAGATAAACAAATATTTTTGCTAGTCTATTGGATGCTTGGTTATTAATCAACAATTATTACATACGATAGATGATTAGAGATAGTTGTCAAGTCCTTCTGTTTAATCTAGATTATACACTATTGAACATAAGTCAGTAAAGTGTACTTTTAATTTTAAGGGAGCTAATGTTTTCTGATAGATTCAGACTGTAAAGCTAGGTGATGTACGTTTGAATCTACCTAGAGAAGTTGCTTCTCATCAGGATTACAGATACATGTTGTGGATTAGCCTCAAATTGCGTAAAACCTAGATGAAACTAAGTTTCCTGTCAACTATACTGAACGACTTTATACGATTATTCGTCAAGATTAGAACGGATAGTTCGACAGAAATTGAGCGCCGAGTATAGAGAAGTCATTATATATTAAAATTATATTTGAAATAATCTCCGCGATTGAAATTTAAATCATTCCAACATTTCGTCCAGCTAACTTGTTTGGAAGTCTTCAGGATAATAATCAATCAGTGACTTCTGTATAGTCGGCGCCAAATTTCTGTCAAACTATTCGTTCTAATCTGGATGAATATTCGCATAATTTACATTGTGATTATTATTATTATTATTACTGAGTAACCATAAAATACTGGTTTTCAATAAAGAAACCTATTCTCCAATTGTCTCGAGTTATAAAAAATTGATGTTTATACACAGGTTTTTGTACAATGTAAACTTATCTCCCACTTGAAAAGAAAGTCAAATATGAGCTTGTGCACCTTTCATTTCATTCATATTTGAGATTCCAACCTGACGAACAATATCATAGAGAATTCAATCTAGGAAATCCACATCGAATTGATTAACAAAATCTTCCATCGTAATAAATTGACCAAATTGTGATAAACTAATTTGAATGTTTTGATACATGATACACTAAGTACCAGAATACATGACACTACTTATTACCAGTAAATTAGTTATTAAAAGTATCTCATTACTAAAAAAAAGTGAACTATGATTGTATATTTTTGAAGTAATTGGGTGAGTTGGCTCAACAATTCAGATATGTTTTATTTACGAGTTCTAATCTACATGAAACCTATGCCTACGTCCTCTTGTCACTTTTATCCAATATCTTGCATAAAATTAATTTCATATATGATACTAGTTATCATAATGTATTGACAGTCCCATCTAATAGGGTTTTATTGAGATTCAAGCTTCAATTTATGTGCTTAAATATTAATCGAATAATAGGAACGAAACAGTTACCCACAAAAGAAAAAGAAACAGGGTCATCTCGAGTTGTCTAATTTTTTTGAAGTTTGAGAGCTTGACACAAAACTTAGGGTTTCTCGGTTCGAACCCCCTTTCTTAGGATAACAAATATGTAGTACCAAAGAGTTCTTGAAAATAAAACCAAACAGCTATCTGAAACTTCTCAGTTTTCAATAATTGTCTAACTGATGTCGGTTTGCGATATATATATATATATATATAAATATTTATTTATTCTTGTTTCTTGATCACTAATCATTTAAGTAAGAGGAAACCTCTAACCTGATTATATATGATCAAACTGTATCGAACGGACTTATTTTTCTCTGTTATAATTGTAGATCGTCCAGTTTCATCTGAACGTCATGAATCACAAGCTCAACAACAGCAACAAACTACATATTGTCCTGATTCTAATTCTAAATTAATAGAACCTCATTCAATTTATCCAGATAATTTAGAACAAAGTAGATTAAATGGTAGCGGAGATACAAGTGCATATTGTACTAGTGAAAGTAGAAAAAGTCAAAATGATTCATCAATGAATAACACTCATAATTTTGCTAATAATAGCAGTGATATTATTAACAATAATAATAGTATTAATAATGATGATCACGCTACAAGTAATGGAAGTTTTACTGATCAACGTTTCCATTGTATTACTACTGGTTGTAATAATAATGATAATAATACACAATATCCACCGGTAACAACACTATCGAATAGTGATTACCCTACAAGAACTATAAGTAGTTTACATTATAATGGAGACAGTGTAGGAGAAGGTATAGCTGCCTCATTATCCGACTTGGGCGGTTCCCTGTTATCTTTATCTGCAGTTATTCCTGATCCACATCATTACCACCACCATCGTCATCACAGTCGTCATCAATATAACTCTAGTGAAGTTAATAATTCTAATCATCATATAACACCAAATGATTCCTTTAGTCCATCATCTAATTGGTCAATTGATGGGAATTCACAATATACTACTCATAGTAATAATAATAATCAATATATTCATCCTGATCCAAATATTAATTATACTGAATCATATTATACATCAATTCGTCAATTCAATTCACCAGAACCGTCTACATCAACTTCATTATCATTAATTTCTAGTAGAAATCATAATAATAAATCATCAAATGAACAATTACCATCAACATCAGATAATAATATTAATCATAATTTACAAGTGAATAATCCATTCAATTATAATAATACAAGGTTATTGAATGAGCAAAAACGTAATGTGAATTTTGCAAAAGATGTATCTATAAAATCTAATACAAAAGTTCAAAAACCCAATTTTTATCAACAACAACATCATCAAAAATTACATAATACTAATTTGATTTCTGAACATAATCCGGAGAAATTTATAAAAGAAGGTTAGATTTCATTATATGACTGTGTTCTTTAATTTAATATTTATTTTATATCAGAAGGGGTGCCAGGTCAGTGATCTGGTGGTTAAGCGCTCGCGTGCAAGACTGGTAGGTCCTGGGTTCGAATCTCGCGGGGGGATCGGGCATGCGCACTGCTGAGCAGCTCTACAATAGGACGAAATGGCTGTCCAGTGCTTCCAGGTTTTCCATGTTGGTCTAGCTTCGACTGACTCATGATTTGAACCATTGAAATAACTTATTTTATAGTTTGCATCACGGATTAAGTTTGATTAAATAGCCATTAAAAACTAGAAGTTAATAGACAGTTGTTTTAGACTAGATATATAACTCCTTAATAGTTTTCATCCTCGACCCAACAATAGAAAATTGAATTGAGGAACTTTAGGTCTATCGGTCCGAACTTGATCTCTAAACCACTGAGTCAATATCTAATAATTTATAGATCTAACTTTAACCAATTCGTGATATTACATTACTCATTCAGAAGAAAGAGTTTGCTTATAAATACAATAGTCTTGAGCGCTGTTAGAGGTATGAGGGCGGTTATCAATTCCTGATTGCCCACAGCGTGGAAGGGTACTTCTGGAGGTACCTGAAAGGAAATTGGATTAGTGGTGGTCTTAGTGACCTGAGAGCGTGACCACAGTGCCCGAGGGACAACTGCTTGAGGTCGGTCACACACGGCCTTTTTGTGAGTAATTTTTGTGTCAGCTCCGTACTGGTTGAGACCTTACCTCCGGAGACGGATATCCATGGGATGAGGCGAGGTGTGCATTCTTAGAGTCGACCGTTTCTAACACCACTTCTCCTTGTGGGGAGGCAGCATCGCTGTCATGCTGGTTGTCTGCAGGAAACACCTTACTGCCGTCACACCTCCGTACAGTCAGCAGTACGACTTTGCCTTCAGACCTTGGGTTTGTTGCCTTTAGTCTTACCACTCTTCAACCGACCTGTCTGACATGGTAGGTAGGACCTTGAGGAACGGTTGTTCCAGCCAGTATAGCTGGTTTGCTTCATCACGATAGGCAAGCCCAACCACTACGTCAAGTTAGCAACAACGGTCGGGTATTACATTATTATCTTCCAATGTAATTGGTGGGTTACTGTCTCACGATTGATATATGTATAAACTCCATTACTAGGGTTTGATTTGATAGTCTCAAATAAATTGACTATTGAGGTAGATTACTTTGAGTAATGAAACGATAATATACTTCTATGATCCAAATGAGTAGAAGCGTGAATTGTACAACCGCAGAGAATTCTTCCAGTTAAAGTAAATGCGTTCATTTTCATGAAGAAAGTAAAATAATGTTACATCAGGATCGCCACTGGCTTCTAGCAACTGTGTCTCACCATCTCTAGGACCCCAGCCAGGGAGTCCTGAAGGACCAACACAATCCATCCCTCTTTCACACCACGACACCATGTCATACACTGACCACCTCTCCGCGTTTTCCAACCAGTCCCGAGTCGACAAATAATTCACGACATGGAATTCTGTGGGACGATATTCGTTGAACATGTCCAAGCCATCGAAGTCGATGGTTCAAGATAGTAGCATTAAATTAATTGTCGTCACTGCTCCTGAACACACGATGCTGAACCTCTGCAATACTAACATGGTGTAGTCGCTGGGTGTCAGCGATCCTTCGGAGACAACGATTGTCGAACACAGAGAGTCAGAGTCGGAGAGGCTAGGTTTCACAAGCATAAAGCAAAACTGCTCTCATCGACGCATTGTCGATCCGATCTTTTGCAGCCAGACTGACACCACGAAGGCGCCAAAGATTGCCCAGACTGGCATAAGCCGCTCTGGCTTTCATTATGAGTGAATTGATCTCATCACCCACGGCATCACCAGCACTAATGGAGCTACCCAGATACACGAACCTCTTGACTAATTCTCTCTGCTCATTACCCAGGGTGAATGCAGAATCAGGGTCCTGCCAGTCTTGTAAAAGTACTTTGCACTTCAAAGGTGTAACGCACATATCATACCTACGAACACTAGTTGCTAACTGATTAAGTGCGGATCTCATGGCTTGGGTATCAGCTATCAAGTACACATTTATGTATCCAGCTATGTGTCACACTTTATTTATGTAATAGCTTATGATAATACCGGTCTGTCCAAAATCCATAATCCTTGTTTGAAACTTGTAACCTATTAATTGACTGATTGATTATTACGTTCATTAAACACAAAATTTCCTTAAACAAAGATGATTCTTTTAATACATTGAATAGTATTTGATTATTTGGTTATAACTAATGAAACCTTCAAATTAGCGTAAATGATGACTAACTACTTATGATATTCAATAGTATAAATCTGAGACGTTCAAGTTTCAAAAAAGTTTACTTTACTTCTTTTCATTTTATTTATCTCATAATAAGCCATTAAATAGAATAGATGAATTGTAAGTTTAAAAAAAAAGAATTCAAATGATGCGTTTTAACTCATCAATTATATGAACATATAACCTACTATTGATGTACATATTGTGTACTAAACATAAAACATTTGACTTTAAACACTTATGTATTATCCGTTAAGCTAATCACTTGCTTAGATTATGATTAGAAAGAAATAATTCAGATCATTGTCACTAATGAAAAGAAACAACTTTTTTTACTACCTCATGGTAAACTTTTACTAAGAATTTTCTTAAACGTTAAATAAATAAAATCCATATTCTATTCAAACCTGAAACCAAACTAAGACAAATATGGATAACCTGAAAAATTCATATTGAGTTAGATTGCTTTCAATAAAACGATTTACACATCTAGTGACAAGTCGTGACCATTGGACCTAATCTATATTGGGTGTGAGACTGATACTCATTGAAGCGAATAGAAGAGAGCTGGCTAAATCATGGACTGATTGAATTTATATATTAACACCGTTGGCTACCGGTTTAGTGATCTGAAGTTTAGGTGTTCGCGAATAAAACTGAAGGCCGTGGGTTCGATTCCCGCCTGCAGAGTGATAGATTCGCACTGTTAAAGAGGCCCTTACTGGGACGAAACAGTGCTTCCAGTTTTTTACCTATAGTCTAACTTAGATCGGCTCATGATTTCAACATTCTACATATAATTTAATCATTATCACAGTTGAATAACAAATACATTTTTTATTATATCCCAATGAAAAGGGAACTGTATTTCTGAAGTTGTGTGACCCTAAGTAATATTGCTTATTTATTTACTCTGAAGAAGTAGATTACAACACGTCACGAAACTTCAGAAATACAATTTTCTATTGATGTAACAAAAAATATATTTACAATTAACGTTCCGTGCAATGCTCAATTTATTTGGAACTACCAAGTTCATTCATGGCATTGATAGTCATATTCTTGTTTTTAAAAGATACTTGTCGTTTTGATAATTCAATTTATGCAACAAAATCTGGTAGGATTATGTTAGCCAGATTGATCATTTACTCAATGAACAATGTCTCAAATCTTAACAGAAAAGATTGTAAATGATAATACCATTAGTGAATTAAATAAGGAGATTACTATTGTCCTATTAATGTATAACGTCATGATACAGCCAATTAAAGAACAGTGATTTATCGAGCCGACCAAATGATGCATAAAGCAATTACGAACAGTCTAGAGTCCTTATCGGTCATGCTTCCCACCTAGCCCTGCATGTTAAGTCCAGAACACCAATCTCAGCCTCCATGATATGAACCATGTATTTCAAACATACTGGGTTTATATACCAACCAGACAAGCAATATCGTACCATAAAACAGGAAACAACATTTGTAAAAGATTTAGCTAAATGTGGCTATGAATAAGGGAGATAGTAATTAATAAACAGGGCATAACTCAAGAATGGTAAATCGTATAATAATGGTTTATAGTTCAAAATAAAGCATATGATAAAAGAAACACGAATATGAATAGTTTAGTCATTTAAAATTATACGATAAAAATATACACATGGTATTGGTCCATAAATGGATTCCAAAAGTTACCATTCCTTATTTTCATCGGGATATAACAGAAGGAACAAACATTAAGTTATGAATATGAAATTTGTCATTTCAACTTGATACATTTGAATCGTATCATTAGCTAAATCCCCCAGCATCTCAATGTTACTATCTCAGTTGAGTCATAATAGTTACCAACTTGTTTAAGATGTATGATATTTGAATATTTTTTACAGATTTAAATTCTTTTTTTTCTCTATTGTTAACATTCATAACTTATTTTGATCAATGTCTATGGTCGTAAGTAAGAATTCATTAAATTGATATCTTGACATAACCTGTATAGATTAAACTGACTAGTCCTAATTTACATAATGAAATAATAATTTGTGTAATATATATATACAAGTAAATTTTATGACATATCTACTCAAGGAATCAATATATCAATAAAAGGGAATTAAAATCCCATTCCTATGATTAATCATAGAAAAGATCACTGAAATTCAATCTAGTTGATGCAATCATTGTAGTGTCTTTGTTTCGTTAATCAATCACCTTTGTAACCGTATTATATAAATCCCACTGTATTTAAAATCAGAATGCAATAAAAAGCGGCGACTACAGTTTATTAGCGGATAGCACAAGTAATAAAGCTATAAGCATATCGAGCGAATTTGTGTGTACGGCAACATATACAGAGGCAAATTTATAGTCAGATCCAATAATGGCATAGCTAGGCAAGGCGAAGACTAATAATAGGATTCGTATACATATTATACATAAGGAAGATAATGATTCATAGAGCGATATTTAGGCTATCAACATTTAAGCTAAAGTCTGTCATATGATCAAGCGTACACGTTTATACAGATATAATAGTGATCATCATAGTACAGGGAAATATGAGAACGGTTACCGTTAGAATAAGACTGTTAGTAAGTTAAGTTAGTTAATAAAAGTGCTTGACCAAAATTAACCATAATCGAAAGTGATTGTAGGATAATTGTTCTAATATATTGATTATAAGCAAAGATGGATGGTGGCTAACAAGGGAATCCCGGACATGCGTTTCATCCTATTTGGGACTCATTAGCTATATATATCTACATTCCAAAGTTGATTTTCCTAAATTCCATTGCTAGCCATTATTCATATTTGCTTAGAATGCTTGTGATTTAAGCCAATATCAAGGCAATTCACACAAGATGCACATATACCAATAAGAAACTAAACAATTTCAGTCCTAAACATCAATGGGTAGACGGATAGTGGCTAGCAGTGGAATCCAACATGTGCGTTTTGTCCTACTCGGGACTCCTAAGCTAGATGTACCTTCATCTCAGAGTTCATGTTCACTCTGCGACTTGAACCCAGTGCCATTCGCTTCAAACACCATCGCATTATTCACTTAGCTACTGAGTCCTGGTAGTCACTTGCTTGTGCAATGGGATGGAGTTTTAAATTCACTTGATATTGTTTACTTATATCTCCCCATTTGATGATTAGGACTGCAACTGATCAGTCTCTTGTTGGTATATATGTATTCTATGCGGACTGCCTCAAAATTGCTTTAATTCATAAGCGTTCTAAGCTAAAATTGTATAGCGGCTAGCAATGGAATCCAGGATGGACGTTTCATCCTATTCCAGTTCTATTCAGTTAGAAAATACAAATAAACAATGGGAAAATCTAAACAATCAATACAAAAAAATCAATTTTAAACCATATTGATTATTGAACATCTTTTTTTTTCAATCAAATTTAATATAACAATCAAATTAATTTATAATTGTACATTATGATTATTTTCTTTTTCTTTTTTTTCTCTCTTTATTTTAATCAATTTAGAAAAATCATCTTTATTAATAAATCAATATAAAAATAAACAATTACAACTTAATCCATTATATCCTTTACCAATATATTATAATGAATATTATTATCCAATCAAATATATATCACCAAGGAAATGTATGACAACTACATCAAATAATAATAATAATAATAATAATAATAATAGTAATGGTAATAGTGTATTGACAACAATGACAATCACTAAGCCAATACCATCAATGAATATTTCAAATAATAAATTACATTCATATGAATTTTATGATAATTTTTGTTGTTCATTAACAAATCAAACAATATTAAATACAAATAAATCAAAACATTTAACAGTTCAATCAACAACCACAACCACGATGGTTCAACCATTGAATGAATTAATGAATATGAATAAAACTAATATAATAGTAAGTTAATTTAATTTAAGATTATAGATATAATGATAATTATTTATTTAAGTCATTGAATTTATGAGTTAATTAAAGTTAGATTACTAAGGAAGATCTGGAAGTACTGAAAGGTTGTTTTTGTCCTAATGTGGGATTCTTCAGAAGTATACATTCATGATCTCATACCTTGTGAGATTCGAATTCAGGACCTATTGATCTCGCGCACAAACGTTTAATCTCTAGACCATTGAAATAACCAGCTTCTAATAGTGTTTAATGTGTAAATTCAACTAGTCCACGAAATTGCACTAACGTCCATCTCAAAACAGACCCGGTTGTATTCCACTATTCTTGACTTCTCACTAGAACTCTAAGAAATACCTATTGGAGATCATCATTATTGAGCATATGATGATTATAATCCGAGAGGGATTTTTGTGAATATTATAGTAATTTTATTAGTTATATTCATGAGTCAATTGAACTATTTATTTATTATTATCATTTTGAAACCCTATCTTTATTAGAGAGTGTATATTCATATTTTTTATATGAATGTTATCTTAGTTACTTCACTACTATGAACTAGTTAGCAATGTCGAGACTTTATGGAAATATAGGCGGCTAATCAATTTATTAAATGACGTTTTGTCATGAACATAAGATCTATACAACTAGAATCAGTCATTTTATCGTGACTCCCTTGTTAAATTCTTAGAGTTAGTGGGACCGAGTAGATTGAGACAATATCAGGTTGGTTGGTTCTGTTATTGCTTTCTCTTATATTATTAATAAAAGTGAGACGAACTTCCTCAACTAAACCATAACATTCTGGCTTGTATTTTCAAGTAAACTGTATCACATAAATCTTGAAGTAATATTCATTATGAATTGCCTTTTCAAAATTTGAAATTCTTAATCAATGTACACATGAACAATCAAAAATCATCAAGTACCGAGGTCAAACATAATCCATTCAAAGATAACATCAACTAGACTCTACTTGAAAATTTATATTCATCCTATTTTACTGATGAATAACTACTTCGAACACGGTTTCTCAAGAGAATCTAAATAACCCTTCAGCCTCTAGTGTCTAGTGTTTTGTAAAGTGTTATTCTTCATTGAAATGAAGCAGATACGTTTATAAACTGTTTGAATTACGTAATAAAAAACACATATATTATGGTTTATCTTCTCAAGTTTGCATTTAACTGATAATATCTCTAGGATATTAAAACCTTTAATTTTCTGTTGAAATCATATAGGTTGTTTTTGATGACAACTACTTAATATAGACCAGTATTTCAAAATTATTATAATGACCTAAATTATTAAGGCATAACTTGGTAATGATACCTACGATCTAAAAGCATATTATCAATTATCGATTTTACTCGATTTTAAACTGTTTGATGCTGGCAATATAATGATGTGGGGATTGTTGAATTTTAACAAAATTCTGAACCAATCAGTGCTAGACCAACATTGAAAACCTAGAAGTATTCGACGACCGTTTCTTTTGAACTCTTCAGTAGTGCACGTATATGAAAGCAAAATTCCAAGATCTAATTCTTGCAAGTGAAATTATGGATGCGTATTGCTGGAGGGTCCCATATTAGATGCTAGTTGAGTGGTTTAAAAGTTAAGTTCTTATTAAATAACTTGAATGTCCTGGAAATAATCACTGGTGAAATCATGGATATCTACTGCTGAAAGGCTCTATTCTGGAACAAAATAGTACTATAATACTTCCTAGTTTTCAATGATTGATTAATTAAGACCATTTTATGATGTAAAGTATAAAATAACTGAAATAATTTTGCTTAATCTTAACTACTCATAGTTAATTGTGCAAGAAAAAATGTATAAAAAAATCATGCAACAACAAGTAATACTACTAATACCAATACTATTATTAATAATAATGATAGTATTATTAATAATACTACTGCTACTAACAGGAAATTATATAACGTAATGTAGAACATTAAACAAAATATTCACTCCATAATTTATGTTAAAATGAAAGTATAATATTTTGTAAGACATCAGTTCCTGTTGTAATCAGTGCGGTTTAACAAAATTGTCAAAATTGATCATCATTAGCATCACCATCGTCTAGAGAATATCGTAGAGATAGAAGGGGTTTTGTGGAGATTTTAGTAATTCCAACAGTTGAGGTCATGAGTCAGTTGAAGCTAGACGGCCGTTTCGTCCTATTGTGGGACTCCTCAGCAGTGCTCACCCACGACCCCGCCTCACGGAACTCGAATCCACGATCCCGTGCGCCGCAAGATTCGAACCCAGGACCTATCAGTCTCGCGCCAGACGCTTAACCAATTAGATGTGTCGCTCAATTTCGTGGATTAGTTGAAGTTAGACATTAACACTGTTGGATGTCGGCTCAGTGGTCTAGTTGGTTAAGCGCCTGGCGTGAGACTGATAGGTCCTGGGTTCGAATCTTGCGGGGCACGGAATCGTGGATGCGCACTACTGAGAAGTCCCATGCTAGGACGAAACGGCCGTTTACTGCTTCCAGGCTTTCCATGGTGATCTAGCTTCAAGTGATTCATTATTTCAACTGTTGAAAATCATAGAAAACCTGTAAAATGTAATAATTAATTACAAAATATTTATGTATGTACAGTATGAATTATTCGTCAAATAACATAGAAATAATCAGGCAACACGTGTATATGTATATATATATATACAACTTCTATCTAAATGCTTATCATTCATTGCGACATGAGCAAAATTACAAATAAATCAAACAAAAACGAAGTCAACTAATGAAGACGATGATGAAGAAAAAGATGAATAAGAAGTGGAAGAAAAAACCCAGAGAGAATAGACAAAGTGTAATTGTTACTCTTTCCTATTTTCTTCATTCTTCTCACTTATTTAATTGTTCCCAATTCTTTAACCGTAGACAAAGGAATAAATTTGATGATACTAAGATACAGTATAAATCACTTGTCAACTATATATTCATAATTATATATACATGAATGTAGACATTGTATACATGTATACACTAGTTTTGCATGTTGATATACATCATACACTCTAATACATATACATTTAACTATCAATACAGGTAGGTACCAGCAAGAAGTAAAAGAATAGAAACTATCAGTGACAAAACACTAACGTCAACAAAGAAAAACAATATATGACTCACATAAAATTCTTTTAAAATCATTTAATGAGATTTGACATAGTATTCCAAAATATTAGTGGGAAGTATGAAATAAACAGGGTAATATGATAATGTATTTTACATTACCAGTACTACTGTATAATTATTATTGCCAAGATTATACTAATTTGTCAAAGGTCAACTATATTTTATGTAAAATTGACAAAGAGAAATGATAGTCCGTTTTGAAAATTTCAATGGTGGAAAAGATTTATAGCTCAGCTGGATGAATTTGATCGTGGAGCTTTAATCGTTCTTTTGAACGACACACATCAGCATAAACTTCAGGTATATATAATGTCATTCAGAAGAACAATCAAAGCTCCATGATCAAACCATCCAATTTACAGAACAAAACTTCATCGAAAATTTCAATACATTGACTGGGTCAATAAAACTAATTTTATGTTTACAGAATGATACAATTTTTTTTTCATTTAGAATTTTTCAATAATTTATTCCATTCACTTGATATTGTTTGGCTTATATCTTCCTATTGAGGTTTAAGACTGTAATTGATCAGTCTATTATTGGCATATGTGCATACTGTGCGTATGCGTCAATATTGCCTTAATTCACAAGCTTTTTGTAAGTAGTGATGGATACTGAGAGATTTATTTCACAGAATCGACAGTCAGCCAGAGACTTTTTTAAAAATGTCTTAACTTACACCCATTTATTATGATCAGCATTGTTTATATAAATATATATGTATTCTTTTGATCAACTTCTACATAGTTGTCTAATAATATATGATCTGTATGAAAATCATATTATTATTATTTGTGTGTTGATGGTTGAAGGCAATCAACAAACTTTGAAGCTCTTTTCTTTGAATGATGATAGGAAATTTTGTGGTGAATTAATGTTTGAAGTGGAGTTCGAACTGTAGATGATTGGTTTGTACTGAATTTTTCTAGTCGTAAATAATTTTCCAAACCATATGAATATATGTGTTGGAATGATGAATCGGTCTAAGTTAGACTATAATTTCATATCTGGAAACACTATATGGTTGTTTTGATTTAGTATGAGACTTCTTAACAGTGCTCATCCATGATCTTGTATCCAGAAATCGAACTTAAAACGTTTGATCTTACTCGTAAACACCTAAACATTGGACCACGAAAACGACATCTAACGGTGTAAATATCTAAATTTAATTAATCCAAGATTTGACTAGCCATCTTTCATCAGCTTTGATGGGTATCAGTCTCACACCCAACACAGGTTAGCTCTAATAGTCACGACTTCTCATTAGAACTGTAGAAATTTCCTGTCGAAGTTAGTGTTGGGGACGATAGATCCCCAAACTCATATTTTTTAAAATTTTATCGCATCGATCAACTTATTGATTAAATGTTTAAATATTTGTATTGGGGTCAATTGATGAACTGATCGATTAAATGTTTGTATAGCAGTAAGTTGATGAACCTATCAATTAGATGTGCCAATAGGTCAATTGGTGAACTATCGATTAAATGTGCAAATAGGTCAATTTATGAACTCATTGATTAGTGTTTACAATTTTTCTATGACAATATCGATTGTAAATATTGTATAAATACGCGTGAGTTGTGTGTTTGACTTGACTTGTTAGCTGCTGTGTGTCTGCAGAATACACTTCTACACCTTACCCAGACTTCTTGATCGAGTTAGCAGAGTTGAGGACAACGAACCAGAATAGCTATCGAGTCGCTGAGTCACTAATCCTTCGTTCGTTGAGTAAGACGCATCAGTAATAGCATTCAAGCGAATAACAAATCATAACAGTTAGTCACTAGTATATATATACAACAAGCACCACATGATCTTTTTCATTTAACTTCTAGACACAGTTATATCCCCTTATAAACATAACCATAATTATTTGAACATTATAGTTTAATACAGTAATTGATCTTAGTTAAAATCGTGAATCATTGGATAATTGCTTGATCGTCGTATGAAATTCTTTGGAGGTACTTATCCATGATCTTTTCACAGGAAATTGAACCGAAAACCTTTGATCTTAAAGTAAACGTTTAAACTTTAAATCATTAACGTAATGTTCAGTGATTTACATTGTTTAACTGTAATTCACGTTATGATATTAAGAATAAATGACAAAAGTAATAATTTCTTATTTTATTGACTAGTTAAAATTAAAACTAAAATCATTGCTAAAAGATTGAATACATTCAATTTTATTTAAAAAATAAGTTTTTTTATAAATTCACTTAGTGTTGTTTGTTTGTATCTTCCCGTTTGATGATTAGGACTGCAATTGATCAGTCTGTTATTGGTATATGTGCATCCTATGCGAATTGCCTCGATATTGCCTTAGGTCACAAGCTTTACAGACAAAGGTTGATAGTAGCTAGCAGTGGAATACAACATGCGTGTTTCTCCCCCCATTTTAAACTCGTCAGCTGGAAGATCCAAGTAAACAAAAACAAGTGAATTTAAAACTTCATCTCATTTCACAAGCAAGTGTCAATCAAGACTCAGTAACTAAGTGAATAATGTGATGTCGTTTGAAACGAATGGTACTGGGTTCAAGTCCCAATGTTAACATCAACTTTGAAATGCAGATACATCCAGTCGTCCGGCTGACGAGTCCCAAATAGAACGAAACGCTCGTCCTAGTTCCCAATGCTATCCACCATCTATCTTTGCTAATAACTTTTATAGTTTATGAATTTCTAAACATTGAACTAGTGAATTTTTCTTTAGATATTTTGAAGAACAAAAAAATAGATAAAGGGATTAGAAGATGACTATTAGAGAATAAGCAATAATAATAATAATAATAATTTACAAACTTGACATTTTATTATCATAAGAAAAAAAGTAAAACAAAGAACTTTGAATCATACTCCTTCATCATTTATCTTCATATACATTTTAGTTTAAATGGTAGACACGAGATTTGGGGCACAAAAAAAAACAAGTGTTCAATGTTCAATACATATTTGTTCACTTGTTCCTATGCATATATACAGACATATATATATAAATGGTTATTTTAAAAGAAATCAAATCATTCATTACAAAATATATAGTAGTTACTTGAATACAAAAAAATAACACGCATGACTGTCTGAGAAAAATATCGGTAAAAGGTTGTTTGTCAAATTATTATTATTATTACGAATACTGAGTAATATAAGAATAACATTGATTGTTAATAAAAATATATCATTTTAAAAAGGTAACCACAACAATTGATTATCATGCGCACTGATGAAACTTTCCATACTAGGACGAAATGGCCGTCCAGTGCTTCTAGGTTTTCCATGGTGGTCTAGCTTCAATTGACTCATGATTTCAATCTGTGAAATTTCTAAAAATCTCCACAAAACCCATTCTGATATCATATATCAATCAGAGTAAATTCCCTTTGTATCTGTATAATATACTAGAATTTGATGATAATATCATAGATCTATCTGATATGAAATGATTACATCACAGATTTTTGTTGTTGGTATCTATGTATGTTGATAATTCTATTCCGTTAATTATGATCATAGAAATCCATAGATCCTACTACAATACGTATATACACTTGTAGATCTGATTTTATCGTAGCTGAGTAGTACTAATTTATCCGAGTTCAGTTTATGAACTAGACTACTACTCAAAGTAAGCAAACACTGGACAACTATTTAGTTCTAATATGAGATTCCTCTGTGATGTGCATCCATGGACATTTTACTGAAATTTGAGCACATAGCCTTCAGTAACGCGTGCAAACTCTTAACTTATAGATCCCTGATCTATCATTTAGTTTAACCTACTCACGATATTGTACGACATCCTGAGGTGAATAAATGTTTAAGTCCGGTATGATTGGACCTCATTAATCATGACTTTTCTCTACGACTACAAAAGTTGAATTTTGAAGCCAGTCCCTTGAGAGCACATTTGAAAGGAAGGATAAACATAGTCAACTATCACTTTTCCAATGAAAGTCCGTTGTTGACTTCATTTTCAAACCCATTGAAAATTCTAACCATATACGAAAAACCAACACATTCAAATCAATATATTGATTTTAACTCTGACCATTCATTCCGTGCAAAAATTTCCCTAGCCCTGAATCGTTTCAGAAGATCAACGAAGATCATTAATTCAGAAGAAGATAAGCCAAAAGAAAAAGATAATATAATACATATCCTACGATTTAGTGATTTTCCAAAGAAACTATCCTTTAACTCACAATTCTAAGGAAATATCTTTGATTGATACTGTAATCATGACATATTCAGATCTATTATGACTTTAACTCTACGAAAATTATTTTGTATTGTTTCCTTTGTTCTATTTAAACTTGTGTTGATTTAATGACATTTATTTAAGTAGCATACATTAGATCGCAAAACATCGGAAATATAACTTTCCACTCCTTCGGATATCATAAATAATATATTTATTAGTACAAAGGGTTTATATAGATTATAGAATTTTGATACTTTACATCAATAACTAATCTTAGCTAGTTTATTATTGAATAGCAGAAAGCACTGTGAAGATGTGATACCTTATTCGGTTTATATTTCTTCAAGTATTTAGTGAATTAAAAGAGTACATACAGTGTTTAACAAAGTTCACTTAAGTAAAAAGTATGAAAACAATGATGTGGATTCAGTTAGTTCTACTGAAAATACTTGCGTACTACAAATTTTCATATCACTGTAATTTCAACAGTTATTTAAACATTCTTTAAGATAAATTCTTAATGTACATTGTCGATCTTCAATGTTGATGATCTCTTTTGAATGATTAGGGGCCTGCTCAAGTTAGAAGGGAATGGTGTGATCAACAGATAACTTCGATTTCACATCTCGCGGTCAGCATCAAATGTGAATTACCCCTTCGATATATCAAAACACTATGACAGTGTTAATGACCATACAACACAAAGAACGTTATTACGAGAATATATTAGTAAGAATAAGTACAAGCGGAAGTGTGACCACCAACTCATGGGCCAGTCCATGGCGTACAATTATCTGATGCGCGTTGGCCGCACTTGATCTTGACAGTGATTGATGGTTTGTTCGATATTCAGTGACCCAGCTGCCGGATGATTTGGCTAGCGTTCAGTGACATTTCACTAACCCTGCAACATCACTATTTTCAGCTATGTATTTTCGAATTCGCCTGTAATCTATCTTTATCTATCAGTTGAAGATACTTAGTACAGAATTCTAGATCCACCAAATTCGAACTCATATTAACAAGTATGAGTCAAATGTTACTATTAAAGTGCAACATCTTGGATAGTATTAATAATTTTTACACTTAAAGCATGGCTAACAACTAAACAATTGAATCTACGTTAGGCGCTTAAAAACAGTCGGTCACATTTACATAGTCCTTAAAGGTGATAGAATTCTATACAAATGGTTATATTGCGTCTTTATCGATTGAATTTTATCAGAATTAAAAACTAGGTTAACATGATATTAACTATTGCTCTCTACATATAACAAGTAAGTTAAACGAATGTAACCAAATGACTAGTGCTAATATTAACACAGATAAGTCACATGTCAATTAAACTAAATCCAATGATAAGGTTGTGAATATGTGTTAAACTTGATCATTATCTCAAAACGTTATACTAACGTGTCTGAGTTTGAATATCGCTTAATCTAATCAATCATTGTTGACTATTGACTGGAATTCTTTTGAAAATCAATAGGCACCTACATAGTCTTCAGTGAGACAGAAGATAATTCTAGTAGTTGTTTGTACGGATTAATAATGTTCTTTTACATAACCTATATTTTTGTAATTTATTAATTGCATTCACTGTTTTTAGAACGAAGAACCGATTCTTTCAGATATTTACGAAACACCATATGCATCTGTAACGATACACGATGAACCAATCGGTGATCAATATCCAATGAAAGGTATATCAACAGATCCATGTAATTCTATTCCTGGACTATCTATGAACAGAACAGAAGATTGTTCTAACCTCTTACCTAGGCCCAATAATCGGTCATCTGTTCCAATTAATAATAATAATAATTCATCCTATACCCAATGTATTACTGACCATGCTGAATTGATTAAAATGAAAACAGAAAATCCATCACACCCCAGATTATTTAATCCATATTTATCTTCCATAGGCTATTTAGACTGTATCACTAATAATCCTCTAGTTTATCCTCATCCAGTGTACACATCAGCGACATGTCATTCTAAACAATATCAAAATACTGCTCTCAACCCTTCTGCCGTTACTGGTGCTGTTTCCTCCTCATCTTCTACTGCTGCTACATCTACTATTACAGCTACTGGCATGCCTCTATCTGGACAAGTTTATCCAATGGATAATTGGAATATGATGGAATGGGTAGTTAAAAAACGTCCAGATGGAACACGTTATATAACCCGACGACCAGTAAGGTGAGTACTCACACACATATATGCATTTATAAATATATTCACAAACGATTTTTCGGTATGTGAGTGGCCTGTAAAAAACTGGAGGTAGCTAACCCAGTGCACTGAATCAGTTCAAAAGTTACTGATTGTTAGAGTAACCCATATTAGTATGAGTAAACTAGCCTAGATCAATAGTTAAATATCTTAGTAGAGTCTCATAATCAATAACAATGGCACAAATTCATTCATATTTTGCATTGCTATAGATCCTGAATTTTTTAAGGTATATTATAATTTCATATTCTGTGAATTCATTTTTCTTGCTTGAATAATGTCCTACATCCCTAATATGTCTTACTACCTCTGATACTGTTACTACTACTCTTATTATGCTATTTGCCTTGATTACTCTATCTCTATATAGTGATATGTTTGGGTAACTTGAACAGACGAATATATATGCCAGATTCTACTTTACTTATGACTATCTATCTGACTAATTACATAATGAAATCAATATCGATTCATATGGAAAGTACCCAAAGAACAACGGTCTGTAGTAAGATAATATATTATTATATTACACAAACAATCTCATTTTAATTTGACTTGCTCTGAAATAACATTGTAACAGTTTCATAAAAATATGTGCTGGAAAACATTTTGTCACAAAGATTGTGAATTAATACTAAGTCAATACTTTTTTAAGTGTCAAGTCGTTTGTTGACTTTTATCCAAGGTCCTATATAGATATTAGCTCATTTCATCTCATTTCCTTAAGACATAGGACACTTCTTACAGATTGAAATTCGCCGAATGGTTTAAGTGAATCGACTTCACTTGTACTATGCTTATATATTGGATGGTTAGAAGTAGTCAGCAAATAAACTTGGATCTTAGTTTCATACTAATTAACGCTTATCAGCAAGGTATATTCGCACTTTTGAGGTAACTAATGCTCCATGTGGGGTTCGAACCATAGTCACCCAGTAAGACAAGAAACCACTGACGTTATCAGTAAGCACAAAACCTATATCAGAGTTTGGTACCTATCAACTTCAGTCAGCTAACACATCAACAAAGTACACAAGATAATGAGTCACATTAATTTCAGTGGTTTCTCTTCAGTCTTCTTAGCACTTTAACAGTTACAAATAGTTTTTTGGGGATAATAATTCGAATCAACGAATTCACATAAATGACTATCAGTTAATGAAAATATAACTTATTTGGAGATTATCCTTTTCAGTTTGAATACTCAGACCCTTATTCACAAAATGTTTTCGTACATAGTTTTAGTGTAAGAAATCTCATAATGATTTCCAAGTTACAATGTGATAATGTACTGTTGTTCACTATGAGTGAATATTCATGATACAATCAGATAAGTTAAATTTATTCTATATGATTGTCTATTTTTCTCAAATAGGAAAAAAATATTTGAATATTGATAATATTACTAAAGTAATATAAGAAACAGTCAATTACTCATATATTCTCTTTATTTCCTAATTTGTTTATCTATAATTCTCTACATAAAACTAGTTTGACTCAATAAGTAAATGTAGACAACGGATAATAGCGGCAATTTGACATTCGGATCAAGGATGAATAAGTAATAATAATAATAATAACTTCTTTGTATTGTCCTTAAGGAAGAGAAAGAGTAAAAGAGAGATAGATAGATGAAAATATATAAGATAAATCATCAACACTTTTTAACACAACACACGAATTTCAACCATAAATCAAATTTGTTTTGCTCTTTTAAAGAAAACAATCTAATGTATATTCTGTTTTAGGTGAAATTTAGTTATTCACTTTATATTTATTTACTTTTACATTTACACTTTACTTACGCCTGTTACTCCTCGTGAAGGAGCACAGGCCGCACTCTCCATCCAACTTGTTTAATAATAATAATAATAATAATAATAATAATAATAATAATAATAATAATAATAATGTTTTCATAATAGATCTAATCTAGTTTCAGTATGAGACGAAAATCTTTAACAGATTAATAACTGACATTCTATGTATAGTACAAAGTTTGGTATGATAATAGAAGAGTTTATTTGTGAAAATCACATTTGAAATAATCTTATTGATTACAATGTTTCGTCCAAAAAACTTATCCAGACTTCTTCAGAGTAATGATGAGAATTAAAGTTATCGAGGCCAATTTTGTACGAAAGGTTGAAATTAGTTAAATATCAGTCCCTGAGATTAAGTTGAATGTGATTTTTTTTCTGCAATTGATGTCTTCTGAATACTCAGCGTTCAATTTCTGTTAAACTATTTGTTTAAATATGTGTATAAAGCTCGTTTTTTTTAATTCGTAGTGTCGGTTTCCTTGTTAAATCCACATAACATATTCTGTCTTCTTCGCAAACCAAATTTATCCATTCTTATCAACTTACATTTTGATCTTGTTAATTATTCACTTATCAAACCTGACCGTTTTTATATGAGCGTATGTATGTACCCTTCTTATTCTATTCATTACATGTATGTAACTTATTTTTTTATGACTATAAATACTGATTAACACTTGATTAAATGGAGTTGGCTCAAACGCCTCCTCCAATGCACGCCACCTTGCTTTGATCTATTTTCTCTGCTTCCGTCACTTCGTCCCTCTGATTGTCTTTCTAGATCGACGAGTGTACAATATATATATATCGACAAAAATTATTTGATAGCAACCAGAAACGATCGAATCGGAGTCAAATATAGGACCACAAAAAGTTATTTAGCACTGGAACCTTTTACTATTCTTTCATGTATATGAAATGTAAACATGCAACTAGTACTTTTTTCAAATGATTAAAATCAATAGAATTGCCAGACAGTTAACCAAAGTCACTAACTTTGGCTCCTTTAAAACTGACTTATCAGATGTTATCTGAATTCTATGTACAAAATCATGGAGTTGGGTCAATGTAACGCGGAATATGTCTAATAGTATTTTAATTCTTAAATTAATAAGAGATTAGTAAAATCAAATTAGTAGATTGTAACTAACGATGAAATTTAGGCAGAGCTTTTTGTCCAGTCTGAGGCTCATCAAGTTTGTATACCTTCATTAAACTGTATTAATGTCTACATTTGAACTTGAACAACTATATACCTTGAACTTATATTACTAATGATATAACTATGAATATACCAGTTTGAAAAGTGTATATTTTTATGTTGAATCTAATCCAACGATTCTTTACTATCAGTAGCTGCTATTATCTTTTACAGCTTAGGTAGTAAAAGTTGAGTACAATTTAATAATTTATAAATCACTTCTCATATGTAAGCCTTTGATAGTCATGTAAAACACCCCTCATTCAGTTATTACTTCAGATATATAAGTAGGCACAAAAAAAACGAAACAAACAAACACTAGACTTTTTATATCCTAGCGAAGATTAAATCACGAGTAACTTCTGAGACATATTAGTGGACTAATATTATCTATATATTCTTATGGTATAACTATTCAATAATTAGATTGTGTATATTTATATTCCTCTTATTATAAGCTTCATTTTGACCTATAAGTTATTATTATACGATTTACTGTTCTTAAGCTATGTTCAGTTTATTGACTAATTCCTCTCACGTTCACAAACACTTTTTAACTTTATTGTGTACAAATGTTCTTTCCTATTTTATGGTGCGTTGCGGTCTGTTTGGTTGATTTATAAACCCGGTATGTCTGAATTAAATGATTCGCATAGTTTAAGCTGGTATTGGTGTTATGGACTCAAATGCACGGGCTAGGCGAACATAGGACTAATAAAGACGCTAGGCTACTCATACCGGTCGAACGTCATTGGTTTAGCACAGTGCGAAGATTGTATAAGTCGTATTTAGATTGACGGATAAATCACGTGATAACAAGCCAGACGATTCCTGAATAAAATATACTTTAATCTAAATATGCCGTTTCATTTATCATCACTTTATTATTCCTTCTCTAAATCCCACACTTTTTGACTGGTTCTTCTATTATTAAATTTGATAGAATATAAAGTAACAACAGTTCATTGTCTATAAAAGTCTTTAACTTTTTTCAATTTACTACTGCAAAGTTGTTAATTTAAGATGATAATTTAAGGATGAATTAAATATCATGATTTTATAATCCACCAGATACAACTATTGTGGTGTGGGTTACTTATATCCACATAAGTAGTATATAACGGTGGTCAGGCATAGAATGTATTTCAATAAAAGATTGATAAAGAAAGAATGGGAACGGAACGCAATCGATATGAAAATGTATGGACAATAGAATCTGAGACAATAGACTGATATTTGCAAAAGGAACAGTCAAGTTTGAGACGATGGATTGACATTTTTCAAATTAACTATTTACTATACGGTTCTCAGATTTTAATGAGATGCTCTGTAATTTGGCGTCAAATATCATAGATTGTCCCCACTCTTATTCTTGTTCACTACACTATCACTATTGAAAATCAACGTACTTCATTCCAAATCAAACCCTGATTCTATCTATTTTCTTTAAAAAAAAACGTTTCTGTTAAAACTGTGTTAAATGGATAGAATAACTAAGATATTTATTTTGTTTACCATGATATCGAATTTCAGCATATTTTGATATGTACTTTAAAAGAACTAGTGACTGGAGACTGTACTGATACAATACAATCAGGATTCATATACAACAACAAACACTAATTAATTGTGGTCTTAAATATTAACAACAAGATATTATTAACTCTCACTGGTAATGCAAATATTACAACGATACAACAAGATCATAGATATCTAAATTTACTATAGCGTGTGCTATTGATGTCGAAAGATATAAGTAGTATGTATTACTAAACGAAAATGGAATACCTGGTGACAGAAGGTTGAAAAGATTAAATTGAAGAGAGCGAGAACAAAGAGTGATTGATAAAGAAATGAAGAAGCAATGAAGTATGAGACAGTTGATGAAAATTTTGCAAACGAAGTATTTGCTGTATGGCTCTGTAATTTTGTATTTAAATACATTTAGTTGTCCTCGCCTACGTTCTTGTTAACTACATTACTACCACAATGCTATTTCGATCAGTAAGAACTTATTTCATACTAAATATGAATGTCGATTCTGAGAGATACAATTCACTCCGAATGATAAGTCTTAAACATACAACGCCCGACCGTTGTTGCTACCTTGACGTAGTGGTTGGGCTTGCCTATCGCGATGAAGCAAACGAGCTATACTGGCTGGAACAACCGTTCCTCAAGGTCCTACCATGTCAGACAGGTCGGTTGAAGAGCGGTAAGACTAAAAGCAACAAACCCAAGGTCTGAAGGCAAAGTCGTACTGCTGACTGTACGGAGGTGTGACAGCAGTAAGGTGTTTCCTTCAGACAACCAGCATGACAGCGATGCTGCCTTCCCACAAGGGGTGGGGTTAGAAAAGGTCGACTCTAAGAATGCACAACTCGCCTCATCCCACGGATATCCGTCTCCGGAGGTAAGGTTTCAACTAGTACGGAGCTAACACGAAAATTACTCACAAAAAGGTCGTGTGTGACCGACCTCAAGCAGTTGTCCCTCGGGCACTGTGGTCACGCTCTCAGGTCACTAAAACCACCTCTAATCCAATTTCCTTTCAGGTACCTCCAGAAGTACCCTTCCACGGTGTGGGTAATTGGGAAGTGATAACCGCCCTCATACCTCTAACAGCGCTCAAGTCCACTGACTGAAATATAGAACAACATATATATTATAGATTCCACTACTAATCATATAATCCAAATATAATCAAAAATTTAATTATTTTATATTGAAATTTTTTTTATTTTCTAGAAGTCGAATTCTTAAAGAACGAGCTAAACGAGTAGCTGAAGAACGATCCGGTATTACAACTGATGATGATGCTATGAGTGAATTAAAAACTGGTCGTTATTGGAATCGTTCAGAACGTAAAAAACAATTAGAAAAAGCTAAAGCTGATAGAAAACGTAAACAATTAAATACAATTATAAAACAAAATTCACAAAATCATAATAATGAATTAAAATTATCACATAAAAATTTATCCAATTCTTGTTCTACAAATAAAAATGATGATACAACATTAGTTACTATGACAACTGTGTAGAAAAGAAAAATAGAAGAGAAAGATTTTTACTGTTAACTCATTATGTATAGTTTTATTTATTTGTGTTTATCTTATTCAATTTTTAAAAAAAAAATATATTTCTAAGATTAATAATGAACAAAACTTATTATTGTGTGTGTGTGTGTAGATATTTATTAGAATGTTGACAATACCACTTTGTTTCCTTTTTTTTCGCCTGAATGTTAATTTCCATTTCTTTCTTTTTTTTAAAAATGTGATTGTTTACAGATTAAATGTATATTAAATATGATACTTCAAAAGCAAACAAACAATCCAAGATATCAAGACTAAACTCTTCTCTTCTTAATCTTATACTATTCACCCCTAGCCCTGGTTACAGTAAACAAATGGTTATAAATCACAGATACGTATATGTATTAATTATACACAAGTAAAATATACAGACATTTGCTTATTATTCACATACTATAATGTTTCATTGTATATACATTTACATATACAATTACTTATTATTGTAAGCAATATATATATATATATATAGAAATAATGAAGAGATAATTTATATAACAGAAAATTGTTAAGTTTCATTTCGCCGCCCCCCCTCTCCTCCTCTTTATCCATTCATTCATTGATTGTTGACAACAAATCTATAGGGCATTTTACAAAAAGAGAAAAGAACAAAAAAAAACCACTCAATAAATCAATGTTCTTTTTTTTATTTAAAGAATACACGGTTTCAAAAAAAAACAAAAAAAAAAAGAAAAATCTCAGTAATTAAACTATGCATTTTTCTTCTAATTGAATTGTCACATTGGGATTAGATCATAAAACAGGGTTAGATAGATAGATAGATAGGTGATGTGACTTTTGTGAATATATTTTGTCTTCTTAGTATCTTTTATGACACTTTGTTGTAGATACATGAGAAAACAAAATATTTGTCATTTATAATGATGAGAATCAGAAATTTAATTTACTGTTCATTGATTCCATGAATATTCAGAATAATGATAGTTGGGAAAAGTTTAAGTTTAATAGTTTTTTTTTCTAAAAAGTAAAGTGAAACAAACAAACTCCATAATAAGTATAATGAGATATGATTTGAGTACAAATGAATTCGGTGAATAAAAATCAATAAACCATAACACAAATGACTAAGTTAGCAACAACATAGAACGTTGTACGTACGTACATCAGTTCGAGTTGCAATACCACATTAACACAGAGAGATACAATTGTCGATTCAAATCCCATAGTGATAGAGGTAGTCAAATTATAAGCAGTAATCGGAAAGATTAGGGTTTGAAAATGTTATTCAAGGTATATAATCCAATGAAATAAATTTGGGAGGAGTAAAAAAAAAGAAAAGAAGTGATATGAAGGATTCAGAATATTAGAATTTGAGAGAACATAAAGAGTCGATGCATCTGCACCATTGCAAATGATTTTGAGATACACCATTTAAAGTCTTTAACCATCGATTACTATCGTCTCGCGGATCTCAACCAAGTAGTTTACATCTATCAACATGGTTCAATGCACTTGTCAATGACTTCATGGATTTGTACCTTGGTTTGGTTTGGCCGCCTAATGTTCCATAAGAATAAGGCTGAAGATAAAACTTACATTTTAATTTAACAGTAAGAATGAGAATATGTAAATTATTAATAATATTGACATTGATTACTGATTTGTCATTAAATTCTTTTTTAAACCATCTACATTAATATCATTTAACATCGTGTTCATTGATTGAAGGCAGGCAGTAAAAAACCCAAAACCCAATTAATTTACGTGTTAGCAATCATCAGTATTGTATTTGTCGAGAATACAGGTTTAGCTTCCTTATAAGTACAAACTATCATGAAACTGATATGATGGAAAGGAAAGTCAATTTTCGATTGAATTCCTCATTATGAGTTTTATTCAACATTACTTCCCTTCTAATTCAATGTGATGATCATTCAGTGTAGTATTTGATTTGTTGTCCCAGTATGATATTTTCTTCTGTATAATATACGATATTCTTGTATTCAATTGACATGTACTATGCTCAGTAAGTGATTTGTTATAATTGAGTATGTGATTTAATCCTAATTATTAATCAAAATGAGTGTACAATCAATATATAAACCAGTGTATTTTAGACTATATTCGATTCGTCGTCGTCATAGTGTTTTGGGGCTAATAAAACTTCACTTATACCAGTCTTTGTGTTCTTACTTTCGTATCGTGGGAATTGCCAAGGTCCCTCGTTCCGAGTATAAGTGATGAGCGATTTTTCCGGCACAACAGTCAATGACGACCAAATATAACAGAAACCTAGATTTGAAGTTTCCTGCTGACTTCCTCTAATCATCTGACACTTCAACATAATAAACCTGATATTGAATTACTTATACCAATAACAACATTGCAACTTGTTCGATAAAATTTGATCAGCACTAAATAACTAAACAAAGATGAAATTGGTCACTACTTAAAGATCAATCAGATGTGATATCATGCTTATATAGAAATAATCCAGTTCGTTTACTTTGTAAATACGAACATGGTCAAAGAATATGAGAACAACAAAGTCTATCTCAGTCAATAGGAATTCTTGAAAGAAATGACTTATCACACTATTTTATAGATACCAAGGAAGGTAACTGAGGATATTTTGGATAAAAATTTTAATGAAATAGATGAAGTGATGGATTGCCAACTAGTTTCGATAAGAAAAAGATGTTTTTTGAAAGGTTGATATGATTGTTGTATGCTTTAGTTGTAAACCATTTTAATATTACATTTTTTAGTTAGCCAGTAGTAAGTGACTTTCTTAACTAAAAGTTTATGAAATTATCAACCCATGGTTTTGGGGAGATCTTATAATATTTTTAGTTCGCATCAAGAACTTATCTTAGTTAGACTATCATTAATAGTTAAGAAGTAATGGACAGCTGTTTCATTCTAATATGAGACCATTCAGCAATATGCCTCCATAAACCCACCACAGGAGTTCGAATCCGGAAAATTCAGTTACGCGAGAGTACTTAAACCTTTAAATCACAGGGTTACCATCCAGTGATTTATAAATCTAATTCAAATCAATTTACAACGATGGGTGATCATATTTCATTGCCTCCGGTGAATAAGTGTCTCAAGCCTAACACGAATAAACTCCATTGATCTCGACTTATCACCACAACTACTAAAAATACATATTACAGCGTTACAAATTTATGCAATTCAAAGAATAATTTCATGTAAAATATGGTTACAAGCATATTGGATCTCTGTCAATATGTAACTGACTAGTAGTGACCGATGTATTTGCCTAGTCATTAGTGGTGAACGTATTCTGTCGATTAAGTTGCTATTTGACCTCATTAGACAAGTATAACTTTAGCCAAACCTTATTTGTAACTTTTTCAAGAAAACCATACTTTCACTAGTACACAATATATCAAATGTGGAAACTATCGATAGTTATAAAAGCATTCCTACTTCTTATAGGTCATTTCATAATAACATAACTGACTGTGATAATGAGTGGAACTAGCTAAATAATTCTTAAACACTATGAGTTCCCTCAAGACTTTAGATGCACCTCGATGATGAAGTTCAAATCCTTCTACCGATAACCTTTATTGATCTAACATGGTTTATTACTGAGTAACAAAATCTGTTCAATCTATATAAGAAAAAGAGTTCACAGATTTCAAGGTAAAAACAGTGACTAATGGAGTCCAATCTTTGTCGGGTATAGACAACTATCTACCTCGGACAACAGATGAATGGTTGCGCGAAATCATGGATTGATTGAAGTCAGACATTAACACCATCTGATGCTAGCTCAATGGTCTAAAGGTTTAGCGTTCGCGCGCGAGACCGAAGGTCTTGTGTTCGTATCCCGGATGCGGGATCGTGAATGAGCACTACTGCGATGACCCATACTGCGATGAATTGGCCATCCAGTGCTTCCAGGTCCTCAATGAAGGTCTAACTTAGATCGAGTCACGAATTCAACTATTAAAAATAATAAATATTTTCGATGGTTGAGATTGTAGTGGCCTACTTTCATGGAGAGAACGCGATTGGTGTAATGGAAACAATTATTAATATAACCAATTGTACCACGGGTTGTTTTACCGTACTTGTTCCGCTGATTGTGGCCTTTCACGAATTCGGTTACGCTCAGTAACCACACTTGTAACCTGGCACGATCTCGGTATTCTTTCGATACCACGAGATCGCCAATAAATACATCTCGACTACAGCCATCAACTACCTTCTGATATTTGGCTTACGGGGGATCTTATCGGTTAACTGGCACGTAGTCTTCCTTTAGTGGTGATCATAGTCAACCGCGATTCAACGCCATACTACAAAATCATCAATCAATTGAAGCTAGACCACCATGGGAAACCTTGGAGCACTGGACGGCCGTTTCGTCCCAACATAGCACTCCTCAGCAGTGCGCACCCGTGACCCCGCGAGATTCGAACCCAGGACTTATCAGTCTCGCGTGCGCGAGCACTTAAACACTAGACCACTGAGCCTGCATCCAATATTTGATAACTATAAATAATATTCTACCGATTGAATAGTTATGTATTAACCGATATGAATATTCTAGAGAAAAAAAAAGGATTTTCAATTCATATTCAGACAATTTTTTTTAGAAAAATGAAAATTATTATCAGAAACATTGTGATTATAATCGTTAGGACTAGATAAATTATCAGAATAAAATGAGTAAAGCTCCCTACCCTTAAATAATTGAACGTATGTATATCAAATAGGATATTACGCAATTATATTATGAAAATTTATAGTCATCTGATTAGTTTTAACATTTAGAACTGTATTAGTCTTTGATAGATGAACCTATCCAGTTACGAAAGGATATGATTGTCCTTTTTCAAATTATCCTAATAATTTCAGCTTTACAATCATCAATCACGTAACATTCTATTTTATATGCTTAATTAGAAATTTCTTTTTTTTCATTAAAATCATAAAATGATCAATGTTAGATAATTATTGAAAATGTGTAAGTACTAGATGGCTGTTTCATCGTAGGTTGAGGATTCCTCAACTGTGAGTATCCAAAAATTCCATATGCATTAGTTGAACTCAAAACTTTAAGAAGTTCCATTCTATGATGAAACAGTTTACCATTACTTTTATATTTTTAATGATGGTTTTATATTGACAGGTTCATAATTTCAATGTCATTCAAAAATCTTCATTACTCCAACTTTTGAGTTTTATTCATTTTATACTTTTTTTTCTCTTTCTATTAACTTTTCTCTTTATGATTTGAAAGTCTTCTTCTACAATGTTCACACCAGTTAACATTATATATATAATCAGTAGTATGTACATTTCATTTCTAATCATTGACATAATTGATTCTAGTTTATTAAAAGATAAAGATAATATCTATGAAATAAAAATCAATTCATATTACATCTAAATTATGTTGTTTGTGTTTGTTAAATTAATTGTACGAAACCAGTTTACAGTAGACAACATCAAACAGTACGCTTTCACCAATTCACTTTTAACTTGATGATTATTATGCACGTGAATAGTAATTTTGCATATATACCCTTTTTTTAAGGTTCTTCATAAGCCATTATTTTCAGTCTTGTCTATCATTATGTCCATTATTGATGATTTAAAAAAGTAGATTGAAAGTTTCATGATAGTTTTGTCAGCAGATGCTACTGTATTGCAGGAGAACATAGGTGAGTACAACCGGTATGTTCTACTTATATCGATGTAAGTAGTATATGACACTAGTCAGGAATAGAATGTCTAGCAACAGATTGATCACCACCCAGTGATCAACCAATTGTAAATACATTTCAGTCCTACAGGAGGTCAGTCGCGGCTCAGATAGCTCAGTGGTAACGTCTCTGACTGTTAAGCTGGGTGACACGGGATCTAACCCGCCAGGGAGCACCAGTTCTCCCAAGATTACAGGTATACCTTGCTGACGAGTGCCAAGTAGCACGAAACCTGGGTCCAGGGTTCCTGTTGACTACCTTCAACCACCATCTAATTGATTGTATTCATATATAAGAGAGCGAAATATAGAAAAGGATAATATTCACTCATTATATTAGGAAAAAACAAATAGAATAATTTTTGGATACCATTGTCAAGATTCATTTATTTTGGCTCCATATATATTTCATGGTTTATTATCAATTAGATATTTAAAGTATATGACCATTTCATTGAATCATAAATAATTTGACATTAGAAATGGTTGATTATAATTAGAATAAATAATAATTTGAAATAAATAAAAAATAATGATTAATGATAATTTTAAAAAAATTATAAAATAATAAATTATCTTGGTAACTAACTATTATATATATATATATATATATATATATATATATATATATATATATATATATATATATATATATATATGTTTACAGTGCAAAGTCATGCATGGAGGATAGCTGACAGATGCATTCCGAGTAAAGACCGGAGTCAAACAAGGCTGTTTACTCTCTCCCTTCCTCTTTCTTCGGGTGGTCGAATGGATTATATCGCCTCTTTGTCAATATAACTTAATATTGCCTATTTTGAGCCTTAATTGATAACTTCTTAAAATACATTAATTATACACAAACTCTATGAAATTCCAAGGTGTTATAAACTAGGCTGTTTACATAGTAATCCATTCTTTGAAATAATAATGAAACTTCATACACATAGTCCCCTTTATCGTTTTGAAAAGAGCAAGAACAAACATTCTAGCAGAATAGCATGAGTTCATTTTTATTTCCTTGCCTTGGTGACTAATATTCCTTCGCTGTATCTTAGCATATACTTTTTTTCTTTTTCTTTAAACTCTTTCTTGCACTTATCACATCATTGAGTTTTATTTCAACTATCTTCCAAATTATTAATCTTATTTTATCAACAGAACTCTACTCATTTTATTCCTATCAATGTTTACTTGTTCCTAGCCATTTGAACTGTTGTCACAATGTTGTTATAATATTCAGTCTATTAAATTTATTTACACCTTTGCTATACTATACGAATATGTCTTCAATATAACTTCCAATCAAACTCTTTCATGTAAGCAATTTTAACCCATAATGTAATTATGATTTTTAAATATCACATGTTGTAAGCAGCTGACGAGAGCCAACGAAATAAAAATGAATCCATGCTATTCTGTTTGAATGTTTATTCTTACTCTTTTCAATCCTGAAACTGTCGTAAAAATTAAGAAACATCGAATTGATGATTCGATAATTCAAACTGAAAACCCAGTACACATTAATACAGAAGTAATGTTATTGTATAGTAACATATTTAACTATTTGTTAAGTAGTAGTGAAGGATAAATAATCGTGTATCTTTAGTGGTCCACCGACCCTGAGATTACAGGTATCAGGATTTCAACCAGTAGGGAATCACCTGATTAAACTCCGTTTTATTTACTTCGATTTAGATAAACAAGTAATATCGCTACTATTCATTATGAAAATAATGATGGCTCAAAGCCGAGGACATAAACCCATAATTATTAAACGAATGATTTGCACTAAACTAATTAACTTTAACTGGAAATGTAGCTCAGTGGCTATGGAGCCCCACTTATAATCAATAATTAACAGGTTTAAACACCCTCCATCCACTATGGTGTAGGAAACTAAGTATTACCACTAGACCTTTATATATTGATTTATAGAAATCAAAACTGTGTTTTAAAAAAACTCAAAAACAGCCTAAATAGTATATAAAAAGTGAATTTAAATCGTTCAATGAACATAAAAGTGTAGACGGTTTTTTTATTTCAAAGTACGCATTATCTTAGTACTCAAGCGTCTACAGAATAAAAAAAATAGAATTTGGACACAGGAATCGAAACTATCAGGATGTTGATAACTGTTTTTTAATCAACAATATACTACATAATATTTAAAATTTTAACCTACGAGAAATCCAACTTATTGATTGCTTCCGAAATCAGCTGATAGCTCACGGATTAAATTCAAACGACCTTATCAAACTACTTAAATTGTTAAAAGTAGGATATTTTATTATAGAAATTTGTTTCCAATACATGAGTAAGTTGTCATTGGGTTTTACAATTTTCTGTGCGGATTAAAAATCAGAGGAAGCAATTGATTTTAACGAGAATCCATTTTGATAGATTGAGATAACAAACTTAGGGTCTTTCGTAGATCTGGAAATGACCAGCGTGAAACCTGTACTTGGAACCGCTTGTACAATGATATTGTGGGAATAACATCAGTTATAAATGCAGATCACATAAGCTGAAAGGAATAAGTAAATGATCAGAAACAATTTATCAAGTAATTTAAGGAAGTGGTTAAATTACAGCTGAATAGATAGGAGTTGATCAGCACAAAGAGCTAGACAAACATTAGTCGCTACTCAACCCTATAAGCCATCAGTCATCCCTAAGATCGCCTATTGGTAACATCTCAGACTGTAAAGCTGAGTGACACGGGTTCAAGTCCCGATGAGAGCATCAGCTCCCCTAAAAGTGAAGATACACCCTGAAGAGTGTCAAAAGACATAAAACTCAAGTACGACAGGGTTACTTACCAACTGATACAAATACTGAAATCAATAAAGTGAAACGTTTGTCTAGAGATTACTTAGTATATTGAATAATATGGATTAAGACACTTCTAGGAAATAAACGACTTAACAACACTAGGAAAACTAATAATTACAACTAACTGTATCCATAGTTTGATACCTCGATTTAGTCAAACACCGATCAAACGACAAATGCACGTCAATGACCGAGATTTACCTTCCTTTCCTATGGAATAAGACACACAGAATTGGTTGGAAATATGACTCAATCTTCTAAAGGGTAAATATATATAGATACATATGGATGGATGTACAGATATATCTTGATTCGATTTAATCAATACAACTCACTTCTCACTCAAGTAGCTAGTTTGAGCTGGCGTATAGGATGCTTGAGTACTCGTATCAGAATCGGACAGTGTACAACAAAACATAATTATCTATATAAATCACATCTTCAACTCCGAATTTATGGTTAACGGTTTCTAACTAAATTAATAACGTACCCCTTGGCCCTCATTAAACTGTCAAGAAAGTTGAATGTGACATTATCAATAACGCTTTTGCCATAAAGCAAAACCGCTGGAAAGATAACTTAATTGAAACAGCTTATTACCTATTTCATATCGATAGAGCATAAAAATTATGCTAATCTTCAGTAATAGTCTACTACTGATCCGTGAACATATCTAATATATTTTAATCTGTTGCATGTGAGTAGTAGCTAAACATCTAAAAAATACGAAGTACATGTTGACGAAGAACTACGCAACTATTTCAACGTAGTAAAACATGACAACTGATCATTGAAATCAGTTAAATGACTTTTACGTTCCGTCAAAAAACTTAGCCTAACCCCTAAAGTGCTTAGGTGGAGGGATATCTTTAGTGCTTACTAATGATACGATACTCAAAGATTAGGCCTAACAGTCAGGTCTCAATTGACTGGAGAATGAGTGACCTACTAGCCAATTCCCTTCAATCGCTTATGACATTTTATCATGCTTATTTTGCGTTTATATTCTGTATATAAACATGTTATTTTAATACAGAAAAAACGTTGATGAGAATAGTGGTATTGTCTTTGATTTCTAAATATTCGTGGGTTTAAGCCAATAACACATTCTAGTGAACAGATTTCTCTCGCCCACACCATATTATTGCATTCATCTACGATAGGCATTCTATGTAGTGATTTTGACAGTTGAGAGTTCGCTCATCAATCATCAAAAGGCCTTCTTCATAACAACTAAGTGTAGATGGACAGAAAAATGTAGGCAAAAGCTGATTAAACTGTTGGCGAGACCATAATTCATGGACGAACCAATCAGATTCTGTATAAAAGGTCTCGGATTTCAGCGCAAAATTCATTCACACATTTGTCTAAATAGAGTTTTGGCATTTTAGCTGGTGTCAATTCTTAATGAAAACCCTAAGTCTGATTAATAGCCATCAATCGTAAATCACAATCATTGTTCTTCACACTGCTTTATGACCCTCATTTAGCCCTAGTAAGTGGCTGAACGTTCTAAAGGTCATCCTAGCGCCACCCAAAGGTCGTTCATAAATTACAGTCTCACAAAACTGTTTTTTAATTATCTTTATTCATAACAAAAATTACAGATTCCAAACGTGTGTCACTACTGAATCATACTTTTCATGAGGGTTAAAAATAATAAAACAATCATTACCGATTGAAAGTTGGAACTTATTATGACCAACAGCCACCCCCAAATGCCCTGGTACGGCCGATAGTGAGGAAAGTCCACTCTCCCTCTATAAATGCCCTCACGTGGCCACGCGTATATAGCCTCTGCCAGAGAAGTCCAACTCACTGCCTTCTCGTGACCGGGGTGTTGTTTACGAAAGTGAGAGGACGAAAAGCGAATGTCCGGCGCTTTAACCAGGTTGGTGGACACGGTGAGTCCACCTAGAGGAGTTGGAAAACCCTCATTCCAAACCAATGGTGCACATGGGCTCCAGTATCCTGAAGGAACAAATGGCATATGAACCAATTGTTGGTCACCGGCTTCCATGGGAATACATCTCCTTAGGATGCTCCACTGCCTTGTGAATGAGACCCTCAGGTCGAAGGCTCCGGATGTGGCCCCCTAAGAAAACCACTTGCTTCGGTTTGGGCACCCGATCAGTATCACAGCCCTCACACATATCACATGAGATTTGTATGGCGAATATGTATTTGGTGCTTCTTTGTACGAATATCTGTGTTAAAATAAAAATGATGATAAAAAATGACTAACAGCCAATGAGACTAGGGATATGTAATATATGTTAGTTTCATGAGTGAATGAAGGTTCACAGTTTCATCAACCGGTAAGCTGTCTTTACCTAGTATCCTACGTTTAACCTCAGTACTACTCAATTGGTGGCTCCATGATACATGAACAATGTCTTGAATACACATACGATTAAATATTTGTAACTTGTGAACGTCCTTTACATTCCAATGCCGTTTTAAACCCATGAAGCGAAACAGAGTGAATTGCCATATAGTATACTCGTCCTTTGATTGGTAGATGGGAGTTTCATCTACGCAAGTGGGGAATGTTTGTAAAAGCCAAAGGAACGTTCTAAATCCGCACCAAGACTTTTTCAGACACCACGCTATCAGTGCTAGAGACTCCCAGAATATGGGAAATGCTCATAGCAATCAAATATTTCATTTTATATAGTGATTCTATGTGTTAGTGCAGATCATTCCTGAAAAAACATTTTGTATTTAAAGGGAGAGAAACGCAATTTAAATTTCTTGTAAGGTTTTTCAAGACATTTAGAAGACCGAATTTCGTCAACGTATTTAAACAGGACAATGTCATCTAAGTACTCCAAGTAGACGAGTGAATCTCCAAGACGACAACTGATCCCTAAAAAGTTAAGTAAAGCAAGTATAATATCTAGGACATTCGTGACGAGTTAAATCAGAAACGGGGATAATAAGTAAACCTGACTAATACCACTTGAGATTGATAACTCTGAAGACTATTTACCACCATTCCTGATTAAATTCGTAATGTCCAAACAAAGAGCCTATACAAGGCTTGTATACCTTTGAGGCACAACCTTTTAATGAAAAACGCAAAATCCTCCAATTAAAGACTTCGGATACCACTTATGTTATATCAACATTCCGAAACCTGGTGACGAGTGAACATACATTTACAAGTAAAAATTAAATTTAAATAGTTATATTTTTACACAAAAAAAGAAAATATATTAATCAGTGCTATGAATGGTTACTACAAATGTACAGACGGTGAGCCGAAATATTACTAAGGTTCAGGAAAGCGTCTTAGTAGTTCAGTAATTTGTTTTGATGATAGTCGATCAAATGATCTACCTGACTTGTCAGAAGGCGATACGACTCCTGACTTTTGCATATCCTTATTTGCTCTCCGCTTATTCTAAATAAAAAATCGATAAATTAAATCCGGTATGGTTGAAACAAACCTCCGTTATATGGACGCATTTATTGAATGTGTCTATCATTTGTGTACAAGGACGTTGATCAAAATCACTTTCTTTCAAGCAAGCTAACATTGATAACATTTCTTCGATACAGACAGCTCCTTAAATAAAAAGGCACGACGGTTATAGACATTGCAACAATGATTTACTTCTTGTCCTATCACCTTTTCCAATCACTGAATCTTTAAGAACTGGAGTCCTGCGATAATCATACTTATAGTATTGAAGGTCCGGAAAATGATTTGTAGAGCGTTTATAGAGTTTGCTGCATGTATCTGTCAACTTCATGTGAAGATTAAATAAACTGTAAGCTACCAAAAAAAGACAACAAAATTGTTGATACTTATTTTAATTTAATATCAAAACTGTCATGACTGAAACCGTTATGTGCAGTAAAAGAGTATAGTGAACAACCTTTCGTTTCCTTACTTAAGTGATGTGGAATATGTCTGAATGCAGAAAGTATGCATGAAATTCGAATATTGGTTCATCAACGTCTAGAAGCAGTGATGGTGTATAGTGAGATGATCAAGTGAGTAAATAAATTAATTCCTCATCTAGTGGACATTCGTTAATTAAGGCGACTGAGACATTTTAAGCATGTAGAACTGCAGTCTGAGCTGTTATTGTAGGCGTTAAATTTGGGGACATTAAATGGCAAGGATATGTTAATAACCACTAGAGTATATAACTGTGAATAAAACTATAATTTACGGAATTAGCATGTGATGTAAGACGGCAAATGTCGGGTTTAGGAGAAAAATTTATCCATCCGTATGGGTAAATAGCATTTCGGTATTCCAGCTGTTGTCAGTTTGTAATGAAAACCCTGGCATCTATTTTGTGCTCCTAATTCCAATTCTTGACACTAATTTATAACCCTCTGTTGACCCTGGTGTGTAAGGTTTTTCAGGATAAATAGCACCGCTTAAATCTCATCGTATTGTACAATAAATACTACGGCTAACAAAAATGAATACTAATACCCATGCAAAACACTTTTTACATGATACGGTGTTACTTTTAGGAAAAAAAATCTCATTGAAGACCTAGAGTAATAAACATCAACACTGTAATTCCAGATTCAATAATCATTCAGTATAAATTAGCGCCCACAAAGATGTTGAACAAACATTGGCCGAAACCCCGTAATACTGGCCTTGACGACAATAAATAGAGGCTGATCATGTTACTTTTCATGCTGTGTTATCTCAAATGATCAAAAAATCCGCAACCTTGTTCGTATTAGGTGCAAAACTATAGATAAGTCTTAACAAATGGATTTAAACCGACTGACAACACTCGTTTATTTGCGTCAAATCGTTCAGCAGTGATTTAACAGCAGGTGTGTTGGATTCATGCTTTTATAAACTTTGACGTAATTAAGAATATTCAATCCACATGCAAACCCACAACACGAGATCAAATGCAACCTTGAGAGACGCAAGCGTTTACATTCGCTCCTTAGAAATGGTTCAAATGGTTCAAATGGTTGTGGACGGAATAGAAGAAGCTTTCGCTTAACAGGCTTCCGTGTCTAGTAGCAGGGGATCACCAAATCCTCCAGGCAGGAACCTAAGTATGTTAACAATAAATAAATAGTAAATCATGGTGCAATACTATCCTTAGTCCTTAAGAATAGATCAAGTTGCCTCTTAAAGGACTCCTGGGAAGTCGCTTGAACTATCTTGGCCGGTAGCGAATTCCAGCATTTGACAACTCTTAAGGAGTAGAAGTTGTGTCTACAGTCCGTTCTGCTATGGTGTGTCTCCAGTTTTTGAGTGTTACCTCTTAGGTTAGTGTTGGAACTAAGCTTAAGTAGGTATTTGAGAGGATGTCCAGAAGTGTTAAGAATACAATAAGCCATCAGACGGTCACCTCTAATACGTCTATACTCTAATGGGTAAAGGTTAAGTGAATGGAGGCGCCCTTCGTAAGGTTTAAATTTGAGTCCTCGAACTGATTTTGTGGCTCGCCGTTGGATACACTCCGGGGTGTCCTAATCCTTTTGGAGTGAGGTGGGGAGTACTATGTATCCGTACTCTAAATGGGGACGGATAAAACTATTGAAGATTATATGGAAAGTTCTTCCGTCAAACTGGCCAAAAATGTGATTCAATGTTACCAGTGCAAGGTTTGCTCGGAAGGCATTTTTGTCACAGTTAGCGTAAGACTTTAAATCATGGGGCACCAGGACTCCTAAATCTTTTTCGACTTGGGATACTACTAAAAAGGAGGTACCTAAGTTATAACTGTAGTCTACGACATGTCGCAGATGGACTACTTTACACTTTGAAGTGTTAAAGGTAAGTCCGTTATCGTCTGCCCAACTTTGAAGTCTGACGTTACCTGTTGAGTAAGATCATTTATATAGATCAAGAAGAGAAGAGGTCCTAGTATTGAGCCCTGGGGGACCCCACTAGGACATTCCGTAGCCTGAGATCAAGTGGAATGAACCCCTGACTTTAAAATGTCGATTTTTCGCTGCGTCGACCTCATTTGAAAATTGGTGTGATGTGAGCGATCCTCCAATTTTCCGGTAGTTTTCTTCGACTTAGCGAGTGTGAGAACATCACGCTAAGCGGCTCTGCCAAGATTGAGGCTGCTTCTCTCAGTATAGCGGAATGGACCATGTCCGGGCTAGGAGAAGTGTCTAGTCTTAAGTGCTGCAGTTTCCGAAACACCAGGTCAGCGCTTAGGTTCATTTCGGAGAGTTCTGTGGAATCGCAATCGAAACTGTCATCAGTAAAGTTAATGTCGGTCGGTTGAAATGTCTGGGAGTAATGTTCAGCCAGAAGGTTAGCGGCGTCTGCATCGTTGTTGGTCGGGCCGTTAAGACCAACCAGTTGAGAAACTCCAGTTTTGGCTTGACGAAGAGAGGCTGCATAACGGAATAAGCGTTTAGGATTAGAGGCGAATTTGTCCATAAGCTTTGTCTGGTACTGAAGCCTATCTTCTCTTATAGCCTTTGTGCATATGTTCCTGATATGTTTATATTGCCCGTACGCTCCATCGTTGTCAGTTCGTTTGTATTCTGCCCAACAGTGCCTTTTGCGGCTTAGCAGGCGAAGGGGACGTTCTTGATTACTGTAGGTGGCTTGCAGATTTTGTTGACCGTTTGAGGAACTGAATGGTTTGTAGCACATAAGAGTGTGTGCAGTAAGAAGTCCCAATGACCGTCCACACCAAGTTGGGGTGAACGTCCCAAACCACCTGTTGTAGATAGTTGTGTAGAGCTGGCACATTCAACCGTTTAAAATTCCAACGCAAGTTATTGGTGTGGTATCTTAGCTTAGTTTTGCTGACAAAACTGAAGGCTATGACAGCATGATCGCTTTTTCCCAGGGGAGCCAGGATTGAGAGGTTGTCAACTAGAAATTCTTCGTTTGTGAATACACAGTCTAAGCGCGATGGTGTCTGGCTGTTTCTCTAACGAGTCGCCGACCTCACATTTTCATATAAGCCCAAGTCATCGATAAGGTTGAAGAACCGAGCTTCAATTGAGTTGTCGCCTTCAGTATATGTGTGTTCCGCGAAGTTGACTCTAGGGAGATTAAAGTCCCCTAGAATCAGGATGTGTGTGAAACCGAGACGAGTGGAGCGGGATAGTCCTTCCAGCATATGACCATCGTACTCGATGTCGGCAGTTGGCTTCCTGTAAATGACTCCGACTAGACACCTCGAAGTACTTGACAATCTTACGGAGCACCATAGATTTCTCAGGATTGTTAAACTCGAGGTTGTGAACTTGATGCACCTCCAAGCAAGAACGTATGTAAACAGCTATATCCTGATTTTCTGTCATTTTGGAACAAAGACATCCCAGGTAATGCTAGCTCATGGTCCGAGAACTGAGAAAATATCCAGGTTTCAAATATTCCTATCAGATGGGCCTTGTTAGCATTGCTAAGTTTACGTAGTTCATCCAATTGTTTGGTAGACTCGCGGCGTTCATACGTAAGTAGTTTATGCTTTCGATTTAGAACGCGTGAGCTTCGTCCTGTTTGTCTGTATGGGCAGGTAGCCCACCTACATGAGGTTTGCCGTGGTGGTAGTCCCTGTTTTATACACGTTTTTTTTATCGTCTAGACAGTTCACAAGTGCAATAGTCAGCTCCAACTTGCCTTTGTGTTTGGTCCTAGCTTTGTATGGCCTATCCGGATGCATGTGAATTCCAGGTGGCAGCCGACGTCTGTTGGCACGAAATGTTTCCAGAGTTGCAGCCGCCATATGGGAAGATGGGAATGTTATCTTCATTAGACGGGGTCTAAAATCACCATCCTTCTTGGCTAGTCTCATCACATGCTGAGCCAGTATTTTTTTTAGACTCAAGGACTGTTTGGTGGATTTCCATTCCCTGATGTCAGTCTTTGATTGAGTAGGGTCCGTATTTTCAGGTATACCTTGCACGATTATATTCCTCCCGCGAAAAAAACTGATCGCGAGTTTCTTTGGTGATGTTTTGGATGAGATTGCGCTCAGAATACGGTATGTCAGGCAGTATTCCTACATTCTCATCTGATTCCAGTAAGTGACTCGCTAGTAAGACATCCTCTACATCGGTAGCATTCTTAAGTGTTACACGAAGTAGCCTCGGGTGATTTTGATGCTTAGATCCCTTTCCCCGAATGAGCCATGGGACTGTCAAAGGCTCTATTCTTGGAATTCCAAGTTTCTTGTTCAATTCTCCCCAAAGCATCCTATCATTTTTGTCCTGCAAACTGAGAGGAAGGTCAAGGTTGTCTTTGAAGTTCATGACTATGAGAGAGTCATCACGAACCGTTATTGTCGTCCCAGGTTTTCCGATGCTTTCAGGTTTAGCACCTTGTTGTTTGGGGGTTGAAGCACATTCATGAATCCTTGGTTCTTTGATGACCGGACGGACAATCTTCGGGGTAGACTGTGCGACCAGATCACCAGTTGACTTTCGTTCAACAGCTGAGATTCTCAACTTAGACTGTGGCGCCTGGCCCTTTTTAGTTCTTTTGACATGTGTCCAATTACCTACAGAGTTTTTAGGAACCACTGTCGCGTTCAAGAACTTTGAGCTGTGAGACCCGAGTTTGGTGATGGAGTCGAGTACCGCCGTCGTAATCACGGTGCTGAGTTTCAGCGTGTCATCATTAATGTTGTTGCATGCTCCGTCGTTGGTAGACCTGTCTACATCTCTGTTCTCGTTTTCAGTGCTCTCTCTTGTTTTTCTACCCATTTTTTGACTGTCTTTTCCCAAGTTTGCCGACAACTTGCTCTGCAGACCTGTCAGTGGGACAATGATATTACTCAGCAAGACTGTAGCATCTGTGCTGCACGTTACACATTCCCACTTATGATCCGACTTGCTGAGTCTGTTGTAAGCAGTTGCTGTGAGATCTGTGCACGCTTCGTGGAACCAACCTTTGCAGTTGTTGCATTGCATGCCAGATGTAACAGCAAAACGGCATCCAGGTCGTTTGCATGAATTTTTCATGACTGTAATGACGTAAACTGTGTTGTAGATGCTAGCAAAAGCCTAAAACCATAAAAAATACACCAAAAAGCACACCGAAAACAGACAAAAATGGATAAAACGGATGAGATAAACTGACTTAGTCTTTACGTGAAAAACTGGGAAAAAAACCGAATTGTAAGCTGAGGCAAAACCACAGTTAACTATTAAATGGGGTGAAACTCAAAAAAAGTAATCTACTGAACGTATAGCTCAAGATAGATTTTTTGGTCAGAAATGGTACTTTTGTTTTGTAAGAATACAGCAAAAGTTTGATAAATGTAAATCACGTTAGGACTAAACTTCCCGTTCGAAAAGCGCGCTCAGCTCAGGACAATGTCGATATCCAAAGTCGTTATGAAAAACGAGTACAAACCGGACGACTACTTTCCTTTCACATGCTGGCGTTTACATGTAGCTTCAGGCCTTTAGTGGTTTGTTCTGTCGTGATAGTCTGTTCAATCAAATTCACTAGTCAGAATGACCCCGACGATTTATAGTGATCCGGAAATTTAGAAAAATTTTGTAATCATAATAAAATGCCGTATCAGTCCTTCACTGTGTGATGTAAATTCCATTACGTTTATTCAGCTTTTCTACTTTGTTTTTACAAGCTGTGATTACACTTTACTTGTAAATTAATTGATACCCTCGTTACTTCTTTGACGTGAAAATAAATACCCTTTAACTTTATCGTTCTGTCCTACTGATTAAGGCTCTTCATTGAAGGAAGAAACATTTTTATGCATCTTTAAGGGCCACACTATGCTATCTGGCATTATTGTGTAGTGGTTTGACTCCGAGATAATTCATTATGTTTTGTACATCAGTCACCGTGAGAAATATTATTAAATATATCCCAAAGATATTACTACTCGAATAATACTATCTGTTAAACAACTTATCTGAAGAGCATGACAATAATAATCATGAACAAACTTTATTGTGGTAA